TGGAATTCGAGAAGCCTTCCCAACAAAGTTGATGACTTCCTTTACATCATAAACGCTCTCGAAAAAACTCCCACATAATTTGCGTGCAGGAACCAGGTAAATATTACCTCATTCTAGGCTATGCTGGCGTTTCATCTGGTCGATGTGCTACGTATACAAAGAAAAACCTTCCAGCGATCCACGACCTCCTTTCTTCAGTTTCGTTCTCATGCATTCAGACTGGTACTGAAATAGAGGGCAAGACATACGAAATATTAAACTGCTACAGCCCTCCCAAATCAAGCAATGTGGAGCTACCTCTCAGTAAAATAGACCCTAAAGGTCCAACCTTAATGCTGGGAGACTTCAACGCACCATGCTTCTTCTGGGGATACTCACAAGATTCTCCCAAAGAAAAGCTACTCAAAAAAGTTTTGGAAGACGCCGGCTTTACCCTCCTCAACACGCCAAGCCAATACACAAGGATTGGTGGCGCAAATCAGAATAATACATCACCAGACCTCATGTGGGTTAGGCACCTACCAAAAGGTACGCACTGGGATTTATGGCCTGACAATATTGGCAGCGACCACTTACCAATTGTGATTGCCTGGGACGAAATTTTTACTATGTCAAAGGAGTGTTCTTTCATTGACTGAGACAAGTATCGATCTTATATAGATAGATGCCCTAAAACAGTCACCCTTGACGAATTTACAAAACATATACGAGAAGAGACAAGGAAGGCAAGAAAACCTACAAAAAGATTCCTCAAAAGCCTGCGCCCGATAGGCACCTCTTTAATTTGTGGGAGGCATGCATAGCTGCTTTACATGCATACAGGACTGAAAAATCAGCTCGCAATGGTCTGAAGCTTAAGCTTCTTACGAGACAAGCATTAAAGTATGCGTGCAAGCTATGTAGGCAACAGTGGCAGGATTGCTGCAACCAGCTACACTTTCGGATAAATAATCAAAGGCTATGAAACATTGTCAAATCATTGGAAGGCCGGGGCAAAGCTCGAACAGCCGCTGAAAAACTCTGTTTGGCTTCACATTCATCAGCACCAGCCACCGCTGATACGTGCGCCAACACATTTTTTCCGCAACCGGCAAGGCATCCAAAGTATCCAAAGTGGCCAGAGGAAAAACAAAGCAACGACATAATAGATGCTCCCTTCAAAATTCAAGAACTTATAATAGCACTAAAGGAGTCAAATTGTAAAACAGCTTCGGGCCCTGATATGATTACCTACAAACAATTACAGCAATTGACAGAGAACCAACTAACCCTTCTTTCCATCATCAATCAAGCATGGGAAGATGGCAATCTCCCTAAAGAGTGGGAACATTCAAATGTTATTTCACTGCCTAAACCAAACAAACCTCCGACGACTTCAAGTAACCCTCAGCCAATTTCGTTAACTTCCGTAATCGGAAAGGTGATGGAGCGAATGGTAAAAAAGTGCCTCACATGTATGTTAGAAAATGGGAAGCACTATCACTGGACCCAAACTGGCTTTAGACCCCACCTGTCTACTCAAGACACACTCCGGGGCCTATACGAGGATGTATTAAAGAACCTCTCACCTTATTGGCCGAGCACTATTGTAGGCATTGACGTAAAGAAGGCTTTCGATTCGGTGTCCCATGATACTATACTACGAGAGCTGTCAGAACTGCCTGTTGGTAGAAGGCTGTTTAATTATGTCCGGAGTTTTCTCTAGGACAGGACCTTTTCTACAAAAATAGGCTCCTTCACCAGTCAATCATACTCTAACAAAATCGTAGTTCCGCAGGGAACCGTTATCTCTCCAGCACTGTTTACCATAACGATGCGCCCACTTGCCTTTCTTCTAAATGAAGTCCAGTCGATCTCAGCGGAAATCTATGCAGACGTCGTTACAATTTGGTGTAACGTGCGAGATATCTCTACGCAACAGCAGTAACTCCACACGACAATTTATGTTACCACCACTTTCCTTGACAAGCAAGGTCTCCAGATTTTACCGGAAAATACAGAATTTACAGCTGTTCTGAAACCTACAAACCATAGCAAGCAGCAATTTATTAGAGATAAAATCCCACTTACTGTATGCAACACAAGCATACAGCGCAAAGAGCACATTAAGGTACTGGACATTACATATCAACAAAACGCAAAGTCCACTCAATGGTTAGAAAAAACATTGTGCACTACGAAACGGACGACAAGAGTGCTGCGAAAGTTGACAAATGGCACCTGGGGCCAATCTGAAGGTCAAATTGAAAGTCTCGCACGAATGCTCGTCCATTCAAGAGTTCTATATGAACTACCCTCCCTGCCAGTGACGGCGACCTAGCTTGAAAACTTGAAGCATCAACAAAACATGCATTCGGATCGCCACAGTGCTATTGAAATACACCACGAAGAATTTACAGCTGTTCTGAAACCTACTAACCATAGCAAGCAGCAATTTATTAGAGATAAAATCCCACTTACTGTATGCAACACAAGCATACAGCACAAAGAGCACATTAAGGTACTGGACATTATATATCAACAAAACGCAAAGTCCACTCAATGGTTAGAAAAAACATCGTGCACTACGAAACAGACGACAAGAGTGCTGCTAAAATTGACAAATCGCACCTGGGGCCAATCTGAAGGTCAAATTAAAATTCTCGCACAAATGCTCGTCCATTCAAGGCTTCTATATGGACTACCCTTCCTGCCAGTGACGGCGACCTAGCTTGAAAAACTTGAAGCATCAACAAAACATGCATTCGGATCGCCACAGTGCTACCGAAATACACCAAAGTTGAAGACATGTACGGAACAGCCCTACTTCTTCCATTACGTGACTATGTAGAGCCTGCACTGCAAGCTCAAAATGAGCGCCTCAAGCTAACCCGCCCTGGAAGAGCCATCAGAAACGAGCTAGGTCTAAGCAACCAAGACCTGCCTCAAATTCTACCCACCATTCCACCATGGAAAGACATTACCGTGACAGACAATCGGCCGCTTCCAAAACATATGAGCCAAGCCTCAAACAATCAGCGAAGGGCATACTACGCTTTGCGGCATTTTGAACACCTTAAAAGTATACCTAACGAAGAAGATATGATCTACACGGATGTGTCATGCACTCTAGAAGGCTCCAACACAGGGTAGAAGGCTCCAACATCATAGCAAGGAACGACTCAGGGATGCGAGCTCGAAGCAGGCCGCAACAATGACCCAAGATGAGACCCATGAAGGCAACTATCGAGCGAAAGTTCAATGCCGGCGGCAATTAAGGGCCAAATTAGAAGAAACCACAAAACACGACGTCCCGCCCCCAAGATCCACCCGCCTCTACGAGGTCACACTCAGAAGAATTCAAACACGAAATTTCACGACAATCTCGGTCCTTCACAAGGTACACCCGACAAAGTACTCCGAACCCAACTGCGACTACTGCCACGAGCCAGCAACGACAGAGCATATCCTCTGGGAATGCCCCGTTCACGAATAAAGCCGAGCTGCTTTTATGAAAAAAGCCCAACGTACCCTGCCTCAACTACAGCAACACATGGAAGGGACTACCAACTGAATACTTGAAGACCCACTCGTGGGAACCAGGCTGAACCTGTGGTGTGCTGTTTTGCGCACAATCGTCACTCCCTGCCCAGTAGTAACAAGTTGATCAGTTTGAGGTCACCCGAGTTTTTTTTTTCTTTTTCATGATGCTGAAGCTAACAAGCAAGAGCATATAGTAAATGTTCCAATAAGGTTTTGAATCAATCAAAATCGAAGCCAATGGCAGGAAATTGGTAAATGGCCATTGTTGCTGCTGTGGCTTTCGCTGCTTTTTGTCTGCTGCTACTAGCGCAGCAAAGCCGGGCAACGTTGTGCACAGCAACGCGAGATGGTCTGGTCCATCCGCTTTTTGAGGCGGGTAATCTGAAGTGTGCTAACCTAATGCAGAACACTAAAACATGATTTTATTTTAAAATAGGCCCTTCCTTCGCACGAAAGTAACACTAAGAGGTTTCCAGACCGCCAATCCAACAACCAACCTCGACTTAATAGTTGGCCTTAGTGTCCCTTTAAATTAACCGATGCCATTCGTACACAAACGCCATATTGAGTGAAAAAATTAAGATAATATTAGAAGCTACAATTGCTTATGGGTGCAATGTTATGAAAACACTCTGAGGCTTCCCAGGCAACACAACTGTCAATCCTAGAGTTTTTCACTTGAACTAAACTTGGGTAACCAACACATTTCTGTGCATTTAATTCTAACTAGGTGGAGCCTGCTCTATTGACACCTATGCCAACGAGGCAACATAATTTAGTGGCACTGCAACTAAATTCAGCATCAGTACGAGATGTGCACATGCTGAATGTTGATCATTCATCAGCAGAAGTTTACACCATCTGAGTGAAGATATGTTTTAATAAAAACTAATAACCTAATTCATGTTAAACTGCAGCCCTACATCCAAAAATGCTACCTACACTTAAAATTTTATAATGATAGGCAAGCACAACCAAGAGAATGTTCATGAAGTGACATGTTATCACTTACACTGTGCACTTCATGTGCTAGGAGGGAACGCAGCAACTTGAGTTCAGGAGAAAAATAAAGACATTAGGATGAACAAACTAAATTTATAACAACAAATTGTGCCACAACTGACGCGCACTTAGCTGCCCGCAGAAGAAGAAAATTTTGTGCCTGGAAGGCCAGAACATAAAGGATTGTTCAGTAAAGTAGGATCTTTTCCACCTTTGATACGATTTTTCAATACACATCTTCCCTTTCTGTGATCACTTTTACAAATTTACTGTGCAATTAAATTATATGTGCAGAAGCTTTAACTACGTGCACCTATGGCAATGTAAAAGCAATGTCTTTTCGCGTGAAGAAAACTACACTGCCGAAGACGACGAAGTGGCGCTACTAGTACTACGCGCAATGAACTTTACTTTTCCACATAGCTGTGTGTTCAGCGGCGTGCCCACAAGAGCCAACCAGCACAGAGTCGGCAGATTCACCGGGCAACAGCATCAGTCATGTGCCTCTTCATGTGAGATTTCAGGTTGCTCTTCTGGGCGAACCCCTTGGCACAGAAGTTGCAGCGGAATGGCCTCTCCCCTGTGTGCGTACGTCGGTGGGCTATCAAGTTGGTCTGGTAGTCGGTGCGGTAATGACAAAAAGAGCACTGGTACCGGCCCTCCTGGTTCATGCAGGGACGCCGGCGCCGCTGACGGTCCGCTGAGAAGTCTACCAGCGACAAGGCAGCAGGAAACAAGCCAGCATTAGGTGTAACTCCAGCTGCGCAAAAGAAACATGTGCAGGGTACAAGCGGTTGATAAAATAAACATAATGTTTGAAATAAATCGAATATAACATGCAAAAATTTTCACACAAACCCTGTAGACACGCATGACTTCTCTTCCCCAAACTCACGCGAATCTAATGCACAGAGAGTGTGTACAAGAAAACTTCCCCCCCCCCCCCCCCTTTAATTCTCTGCTTCTTCGAAGCAAACGTTAAAACACCAAAGCACCACGTACTTTATGCTTCGCTGTTCCCAAGTCAGACACGTGTGCTAATTTGAATGATAACGATGTACAAGACGAATATGCCATCAAGCATCTCTGAATTTTACAGCACAGTAAACAAAGTGTCGGTTGCAACTGCACCTACAGTGGCAGTAAGCAAAACTTTACATGTCTAGTTGAAAAGTGGGCACATTTGCCATCCTTATAAATCTTACAGAAGAAGCCATGGGTTTTTTATTTGTTTATGATTATGGCCACTTGACAGATTATTTATGAAAATAAGATACATTAAATTATGAAGATTTACATGCCTAAACTAGAACACGATTATTAGGAATGTTGCAGAGAACTTGAAATGAATTTTGACAAACTGGTGGTGTTTAATCTGTGACTAAATTAGATGAAACACTCACAGACTGAAATGTGACAATCTAGGACTAAGTAATGCATGTAGTTTTCTATTCAACAATCTTCAGTTCATGCCTAATTGGTGCAATTTTGACTCAACACAGACTCAGCATTGACAACAAAGCCAACCTTACATTTAGCAGCTTGATTTGTTGCCACATAATGCAGTTACCTAAAGCAACAGTGCGTACCGGTTACTATACTAAAAGTTGTGATGTTGCCTTTCAACACCTGAGCATTGTACATGGGTCTTCTTTCATTTGCTAATGAGATGGTGTTGCAACAGCCACAACCTAACTATGGAAACTCTGGCCACATAACTTTGAAGCAACTATTTTAACAGCCTCATTTAAATGTGAACAGGTCTGCAATTAGCTAGCCTTTGCATGAGAAACTGCCATCCATGCATAACAAGACCTTTACCAAGTGTACACAATGCTATTTTCTTGCGAATTACACATTGCTAAGTCATGGTATAGGTATATTTCACATCTTCACCACTCTCGTATCACCAAAATACATACAACAACTTCTGATGGCACAAGTTTTTTGGGAATGTATGCATACAATATCCATGCAAAGCAGGCCACAATTTTCCTATATCACATTCAGGGTTGCATGATGCAAAATAGGCTAAACTATGTGAGATGGGCAAGATTAGGACAAACTCTCATAAAAATTTGTTTATGCTACATAATTATACTCTACAGACAAGTGAAGAAAGAGGGGTGGCTTGTTGCTGCATCTTGAAGAATGTGCTGGCCAAAGAGCAGATTGTTCTTCATCACCACATAAAGCTTCAGCCTAAGGTCAAAACGGTTATCGAAATATATATAAGGCAGCAGTAAGAATTGGCATTGCACTTTAGTTGCATGTGATGATACAATACACATACACTTCAACAAACTCCGGATTGACATTCAGAGCTAACCTAGCACTCTTCATTACGCTAGTGCTAAGGTGATTACAATTAAAAGCTTTCACTGCACTGACCACTGCACCAAATATAAACTGAACACGCTGCGTAGTCAATTCTTTACCCACATACGCCAACATAGTTTTTCTAACGTGAGCATTATCATGGGGTAGCTAGGCACGCACATTCATACACCTCCAACCTCAGCATACACAATCAAGTATTGATTGCAACAAAACAGTAAGCGGATAAATGCAAAACACTTGATCAGTAGGTTATACACGGTGCTTTGTTTTTACATACACGCAATGGTACACTAGAAATTTGGCAATCTGCGACAATGGAGGTTGTTTGATGGCATAAAATGGTAACATACAGTTCGTCATAAACTTGGAAAGCTAAGATATATTCCTGACACACATTTGAACACCACGGCATTTAAAAACAGAGCACATGCTTTAGTAACGTCGTTCACAATGTGAACGGAACGCCTCGCCACAGAGCAAAGGTCAAGTCGAATTACCTTGAAGTTCGCATGACATTAGACAGGCATCGCGACAAGGACATGAAAAAATGTACGCACACATTTCGTCCATTCAACTCTCATAGGCCACTAGTTGCGCATTGTCTACGTCAGTGGAATTCTCACGTTCCACATCCGTAAGAAGTTTCGGTATCGCTTTCCACGACATCAATCGCGTCGCATAAAACAGCGCAGTGAAACTTTCGTCACGTCGCAATAGTGTTCCTTTGGTCGGCCGCGGAAGATCAACCTGAAATACAAAGACAGTCCATCAGCAGCACGCCAACGCAGTCCAGGGCAACACAGCAAATGCATCACTAGCTAGTATCAAAAACAACGGTGCAGTACACATTGAAGTTTGCTACGCATAATGCACACTATGAGATGCCACTTCGTAAAGAAGTTGATGGAACAAGTAGCCAGCCGCGAACACGCAAGGAAAAAAACGGTAAGTGCTTCCTTTTTTTGTTTCCAATATTGCGCCTTGCGGAAGTGCCTCCCATTTAACCAATGCGATGTTTATAATTTTTCAACTCGATAGAAGTGCGCCTCTTTTTTTGATCGACAAGCACGTTCGTGAAGTAGCTAGAAGCTAAGTGCACGGAAGCACTCATGTTCCCATCCGTCTTAAATAAATGCCATGACTGCTCGACTGCTTTCTTCTTCTCGATTAACAGCTATCACAGCTCGAGCTGTCTGCCATCTTTGAATTCAAACAATGATACCGATAACAATGCTGCTTTTGCGAATGTGCCCCAGTCACGACCCTCAGTCGTGAGAGAAGCAATAATTTTTTTTTAATCGTGAGTTTTAATGAACCCTAACACCTAAATCGATGCCGTCGCTTTGCTTTTCGCGTAGAGGGAAGAATCTGGGGAGCTATCTCAGGAAAAGGGGATATGGAACGTAGTACGCTGAACTGACGAGGACGAATACATCACAACATTTGTGCAACTTTAAGTGGGCCGTACTCAATTGAAAGGCTGCAGAGGTAGCGCGCTTTTTGTTCATCTCATTCAACTCCCGTGTTACCTGTGTTGCGGTGATCGGGGATCTAAAACCGGTGTTTCAAATGGACATCTTGCCACAAAAAATTATGCTGGACGATGTACCGAATACACAAATTCTATATTGTGGGACTTTTTTGAAACACGTGCTCCATGCTACGTAATCTAGCTATTTGAAGCAGGGGCAGATGCATCCACTCATATTATGGGACGGCGGAGGAGGGGGGGGGGGGGGGGGAGAGAGCTTGAAGTAAAACCGGTGAAGAAGTCCAGCTATGCTGCTTTGTTGTTAGTAATGCTATCACCACAAGGACCCTGTCATAGCATACTGTTAATTTATGCTCACAGCGGTCCCACTCATTACTAAACATGCACTGAACGCTGACGTAGGCTTTGGGGGGATCGCCCCTATACCACCACAACCCTCGTTTGGATCTGCCACTGATTCGGAGTAAAATAACCACTGGAAACAGCAAACAAGTAAAAAAAAAAAGCCAAGGAGAGTGTACATTGAAAAAAAAAAAAGAATTAGGACCTGCGATGTGGCAGTACGCGATATTTTTCGCATAAGATGATGGACTAAGCTGGCTTTCCAAGGCTGCCTCCAGGAACGTACATATACACGTGGGAAACCAAGGAAACCGTACAGGCCAGGCCATGGCTCCCAGAGTTTGACTTCTGGGCACTTTCTTGTTACAGTGTCATGGCTTCATTTCTCCATGACTGGCCAGAATAAGTTTGTGAGTATATTGAGACCAATAGAATTAATAAGTCGGGCAAAGCTGGGTTACTGAGGGTTTGGTTCCAGTGGTGCTCCAGCTGAAAAAGGGAATGATTTATGATGCGTTTGTGTGCTGCTGTGAGTGTACGACTTGGGCCTGCAAGCAGCACTTCACTGTTGTGAGCTCATACGCAGTTTGACTATCGCAGCAGAGAGATACTAGGCGACCATTACCGCACGAATGTCCCACATAGTCAGAGATCGACTGTCAATACTGACTGTCAATGAGATCGCCCCTGTAAAGGGATGAACCTCATCTCTAATTTCTCTTACCCAAAAACCTGCATTACAAAAAAAGTCTTTTTAGATTAAGGTTCCTGAATCTAGTCAGGTTCAGACTGCGGTAAAGATTGAAATTAAAAGCTGTTAACTGATCCATAGAATGCCCTTTTGTATCTATTATTACTTAATTTCGTCTTTCTCAAGACTCCCGAATCTCCTTCTCAAGACTTGCATAATGATCTTCACAAAGGCTCTCTAAACAATATTAATGCAATAGCATCAAGGAGCCCATGTCGCAGAAATTCTGGTGTCTGAAACTTTGGCTGTGAGAGAAAAATCGTGTTGAGGAGAGAAAATGAAAAATCGTGATTCGAGCCGGAATTGAATCCTGGCCTTCTACGTGGCAGTAGTCTTCTAGCACAGAGCCATGGCAGCGCTTGAAACTGCTTGAGGAAAAATCCTATAAAAGCGCCATGTACTGGGAGGAGTCATATTTAACATGCGTAATATTGTATGACAAGCGTAAACTCGCACCTTGTGTCACACCATGCGAATTCGCTATCAGTGATTGATCCAAAGGCCCACTCATGGTAGAGCACTCGGGAATAATCGTCAGCATCAGCAACAAAAAAGTGTGCAGCTGCATAGAAAGGTGTGCACATTTTCTTATACAGTCGACTCTCCTTAATTCAAACTCAATGGGACCTTTGAATTTTGTTTGAATTATCAAGAAGTTTGAATTATCAGTTCTTTTATCACATTAAAATTTTTATAGTGTTAAGTGCTAATTGCACATAGTGAACAGAAAGTAGAAGTGTAAATTCCACAGGTTTATTGGCCATTTACTGCTGATCAGACGTTTTAAAGAAATCGTGAATTGCCAACTGCTTCATTACTATAGGTATATGCCTTCAGCACACAGCTCTCTATTCCAAATGAGAAGCATCACGGTTTACTATACATGTGCTTCATTTCAAACATTTGTTTACTTGCAAAGCGTTTTTCTTGAAGGCCTCAGGTGCTTATTTTTCGTTTTTAGACTGTTAGGATTATATAAGCACCCAAATTTTTAAATAGTAGTGAGAAAGCAGCTGAAAGAAAGCAGCTATTGGTATGGACCTACGAAAAGTATAAGTTAACCGAACGATGGAGTTTGAATTAAGAGGCTTTATACATTGAAAGAATAGAGGGTCAACCAAAAAATTTAGTTTTGTTTGAATTAACCCAAAGTATGAATTATCAGAGTTTGAATCATCACGAGTCTGCTGTAGATGTGCACGAAGGAGGTACTTAGGTTGTTCACAAGATGATTATGGCATAACAGGCCCTTCACAACTGCACTTTTCATTAGCAATCATTCTTGGAGACTTTGAAATGGCCAATGCTGCATGCATAGTTGTTCCTTTACCTTTTGGCATGGTTTAGCTGTCCATCGGGAAGCGAACAAGGCTAACAATTGAGAAGGCAATGTGAACAATGCTGTCGACTTCTACTCTTGAAGGCAAACCTCAAGTGTCCTTGAAGTTTTCTTTCTCGATGATTGAAACCTAGTTTAGCGTCCCAAAACCACCATATGATTATGAGAGACGCCGTAGTAGAGGGCTCTAGAAATTTCGACCACCTGGGGTTCTTTGACGTGCACCCAAATATAAGCACATGAGCCTACAGCATTTTCGCTTCCATCCAAAATGCAGCCGCCGCAGCCGGAATTCGATCCCGCGACCTGCAAGTCAGCAGCCGAGTACCTTAGCCACTAGACCACCATGGCGAGGGAAGGTTTGTTTCTTGCACTGTGGTTAATGCAATTTGTATCCACAATGCACGCTCCATGTGAAGTTGGGTGCTGACACACCAGCGAGTTGACAGCAGGAATTTTACAATGCACAAAGGCAGCCAGCCTTTAGGCCAGTGGTTCTCAGATGGGGGTTTGTGAAGAGATTTATGGAAGCCCATCCTCGAAAAGGAAACAAAAAAGCGAGTTGTCTGGAGGCACACAATGTGCCATGGCAATGGCTCCTTCCGATTTCTTTCTTTTTTTTTTTGGTACATTTCACTGCATAACAATTCTACATTGCGGCGCAGCTGGCATGTGTTTTCCCTTACCCGTAGGATGGCTGCGAAGCTTACGTAGCGCCTTTCTTCGAAATATGCATGTGAGCATACTTTTTCTAGGCTAGCATATTTTGAGGGCAAACATAGCTGGAAACAATTCGAATGTGGTTGCACACTACACAAGTTATTGACAAGCCATTGAAATCGAATCGGCATGGCACTATAGTTCGACCATTGCTTACCATGGAGAAATAAAGGCACTAATTTCATGCTGCATGTTATATCAACTGGTGATGCCCCCTTTTCTCTTACTTCAAGGGGTCCTTCATCACTTCCGCCTGTACACAAGGAGCACCCAAAACATCTATGACTGAGAACTACTGCTTTGAGCAATGCATTCAATAAACAGACATGCATGCACCGTTTTCCCGTGGATTAAAACTGTGACTTTTTTATTAGCGAGAACACGTATGTACATAAATTGTATGTGGACTCCAAAGGATGACAACAGTGAATAGTGGCGAATCGCAGACACTTTTGCAATAATATGCGTATATATTAATGGCACTGGGACTGCGGTGCAGAGGAGAGTTTCTCTTGCAGGCCATTCCTTTTTAGGCCTCGCACGACTTGTGCGGGAAAAAAAAAAGCCGCAAGCACTCGTTGCTTGGTATCATCTGTTGAACAGGGAACACTGTGCGCAACGCATTGTGCATTGTCCCTGCCGATGCTTAGACTAGACTTAAATCTTCTGCAGTAGTGTGCGTGAAGTGAACACATGGAAGGCGTCTTTCTTTAGATATTTGTTCAGCGACTTGGCTCTCTTCTGGTTTCACCTGCAATGAGGCACACACGCACAAAGAAAAACGATGAAAAGTTGGCGCTAATAAGCATCACTGAAATAGTGGATCACTTCTAGTTTTGCATAAGCCGAATCTTATAAACGTTTCAAGTGCTCCTGACAAGTAGAGTACTCACGAACTGAAGCGTGAATACCTAGGGATAAGTCATGCAGGTACTTTCGTTTCCGGCGTATTCGGCTGATGTCATATCGGTGCAATGTTGACTGGTACACTTACACCAGAGCAAACAATATCTTTAATGGTCATATATATGCAGTGACACGAAATGGCTATATAAAATTTTTCATTAAAGTAATTTCACTAAAAAAACGTGATGTCACATTTCCATTTTAAGGACCATACATTTCAATGCATTACTCTAGAAGAACTTGTTACTTCTGTGGTGCAAAGCTAAAAAAAAAAAAGAATGAACAGAGAAATGAGAGGACCACACATAAACAGTTAGTAGTGGCACTCCCCTGTCCTTTCTTCGTGTTTCAAGCGCTGCACCAGAAATCATAAATTTAGCTATCTAATGCATTGCATTTAGTACGCTTCCCCAGGGTGTCTACCAATTTGCTTTTTAAAAATTCCCCGACTTTTCCAGATTTTCCATAATTTGAAGCAAATTCCATGACCCTTACGCCTGCTGCTTGAAAAACTCTGTGCCCTGGAAACAGACCCTTGTGTGATGGAAAAAAATAAGGCACTCCTATAAAGTTAGTAAATGAGTGTACCACAAGTACTCAGAATGTTTTGAGCACGTGCAGTAAACATGAAAAAAATATGTATATCTGGCCCAAATGAAGCCTATGGGTGAGAGGGTAAGCAAGTTGGCTGTTTAATGCTTGGAAGAACCAGAAAGCAAACACACAAGTTATAATTAACTGCAGCTAAAAGTTTAAAGGAGCCCACGACAGTCCTACAATGCAGCTAAAGCTGCTAGAAAATGCAGAAGTGGCACCATCTCGTGGAATCTGTGTGAAAGGAGGACGCAGGAGCCCAGTTGGTTTTGCCACAAGAATATATTGTAGTTCACTATAATGGTTACAGCTCAGGCCGCTTAGGATGTGGATTGGACTAGACTGACTTGTATTGACTGACTTATTTAGGATGTGGATTGGATTAGATCTTATGCGCCATGGATTGCTATATTTACTATCGATTTGCATCTCCACCTAAATTGCACACCTTTTGTACATACTTTTCAGAACAAAAAACACTACTTACTCGCATATTCTGTGAACCTTGCATTTAAGAATGACTAACAACGTCACAACAACGGAGCCTTATTGCATAATTTTCAGTTTCATTCTTTTCTTTCCGTGATGATCAAATGCATGTTGATGTTTCATTTCTCGGGGCTCTGGCCCTTAGAGTTCAACAAAGTCCTCAGATGCCTGCAATGAAAGCTAGGGGTAGCGTTTTAAACGATGACGTTTAAACATGTGCTGGCAAGAAGGAATCTGTCAGAGCACAACAACAACTCCTTCGATTCTATAGATTTATCACAGATGTCAGCGGGTTACCTTCGTTTATGTACTATTCTATAGATATAAGGCTAAAAAGTATAATCACAGATTCAATAATACCATCTCAAGAAACTGAAATGAGAAATTTAGATGAAGTTACCTAACTCTACCCTTGAAACACGAGCTACCAGCAATAAGTGTGTAGCTGAGGACATTTGCCGTTGCATTGCCAATAATAATGATGATAGTAATAATAACATAATAATAAAAGGCATGGCATAGCCCAGCAAACCTCTGCTAATGGCAGCCCTAGCCGAACTAAAAGGCCTTCAAGCCAAGCCAAATCATGGTCAAGACAAACATGCACAAATTTAACGACATGAATTATGTTGTGGTAGGAAAGTCAGATATGCTGCGTGATATGTAGAAGCAACAGGCATCAACATAGTGTATGTACCAATATGGAAGCTAGGGAACACTTTAGACAACAAGAAGGACAAATTGCCAAGTGAAAATTTCCACTGTCTTTTTTACTTTAGGCTGCCACAATTGTGACAACCAGAACATTGGTGAGACCACTGATTTTAAGGAAAGAGTTAGGGCCCCCTCCTCATTCATTTTCACCCACAATCAACCCCCTACAAAATGTTTATGTTACTCGCTGTTAAAAAACACACGAATATAATGTCAGGAAACTACCTGACCTCATATGCCTTCGCTAAACATGAGGATTCTACAGGCCACAAAACTGACTAGTCAAGTGTGCGTGTTCTGGCCAAAGGAAAGCTTGCATCATGCCTGCACCTGAAATACCAGCACACGCAGAAAACTGCACATATGCTGAACAGGAGTGATGGGATGCTTCCAACAATGTACTTCGGGTGCTTACGTCACGTACTTTGGCTTTCTTCATTTAATATTTTCATTCTCAGTTTATTGTTTTTAAAAATTAAGTTACAAGACTAAAAAATGTACAGGCGAGGGTCCCAAAGTAAAAAAAAAAAACTGTAGTGGGATGCTGTGCCTTTCTTAAGGCTATTTTTGTGAACAAGGCTCCTGTAGCGAGCGCCATAATCTCAGTAAACTTTCTATTCTTTTGGTAGGTGTATCCTTTCGAGTCTTCACTAAGAAGCAACAGTTGCGCACTGTTATTATTTTTTTTTTCACAGGACTTTAGCTGTTAACTGTAGTTGCAGCCAAAAGAGTGGCTTTTTAAGCTTTGATCTAGGGTAATGCTTAATTTTGTGACGGTCGCACAGGCTACAGTCAGTTTGCATGACTATGCAGGCCAGATTTTTCAGCAATTCCCTGACTTTTCCATGACTTTTCTAGAAGGGTCCCAATTCCCTGACTTTTCCAGATTTTCCAGGTTGGTAGACACCCTGTTCCCTTGTATCCCAACAAGTCTGCAATGCTCACATGATCTGCTTAGTTAGCAAGAGCATTAAGACACACTGCAACGCAGCTAGCCTTACATTACATGCACCTCCCTGGCACACAAAACATCTGAAAAAAATGCAGGGCCTTTATGCAGTGAAGCCACGGTTATATTAGGAGGCGCACCATAGAGGGTAGACTGGAATAATTTTGACTGCCTGAAGGTTTTGACTGTAAATGTGGCCACTGTGGCTGGGCATTGAATTCACTTCCTCGTGCTGAGCATTCTCAGTTTATTGTTTTCAAAAATAAAGTTACAAGACCAAAAAGTATACAAGCGAGGGTCCCAAAGTAAAAAAAAAAACTGTAGTGGGATGCTGTGCCTTTCTTAAGGCTATTTTTGTGAACAAGGCTCCTGTAGCGAGCGCCATAATCTCAGTAAACTTTCTATTCTTTTGGTAGGTGTATCCTTTCGAGTCTTCACTAAGAAGCAACAGTTGCGCACTGTTATTATTTTTTTTTTCACAGGACTTTAGCTGTTAACTGTAGTTGCAGCCAAAAGAGTGGCTTTTTAAGCTTTGATCTAGGGTAATGCTTAATTTTGTGACGGTCGCACAGGCTACAGTCAGTTTGCATGACTATGCAGGCCAGATTTTTCAGCAATTCCCTGACTTTTCCATGACTTTTCTAGAAGGGTCCCAATTCCCTGACTTTTCCAGATTTTCCAGGTTGGTAGACACCCTGTTCCCTTGTATCCCAACAAGTCTGCAATGCTCACATGATCTGCTTAGTTAGCAAGAGCATTAAGACACACTGCAACGCAGCTAGCCTTACATTACATGCACCTCCCTGGCACACAAAACATCTGAAAAAAATGCAGGGCCTTTATGCAGTGAAGCCACGGTTATATTAGGAGGCGCACCATAGAGGGTAGACTGGAATAATTTTGACTGCCTGAAGGTTTTGACTGTAAATGTGGCCACTGTGGCTGGGCATTGAATTCACTTCCTCGTGCTGAGCATTCTCAGTTTATTGTTTTCAAAAATAAAGTTACAAGACCAAAAAGTATACAAGCGAGGGTCCCAAAGTAAAAAAAAAACTGCAGTGGGATGCTGTGCCTTTCTTATGGCTATTTTTGTGAACAAGGCTCCTGTAGTGGGCGCCATAATGTCAGTAAACTTTCTATTCTTTTGGTAGGTGTATCCTTTCGCGTCTTCACTAAGAAGCAACAGTTGCACACTGCTTTTTTTTTTTTTTTTTCAGAGAACTTTTCGGTGTTAACTGTAGCTGCAGCCGAAAGAGTGGCTTTTTAAGCTTTGATCTAGGATAATGCTTATTTTTGTGACGGTCGCACAGGCTCGTGCTGAGCAGCGCCACACCTTAGCTGCTAAGCTACCCCGACAGGTTCAGTTCTTCATTAAGACTCACCAGTTGAAATTTTGGGAATGTGGCTGAGACGAGCTCAGACATTCTGGCACTCCTCTTCGGGTTGCGAGGGAGGAGGAGGAGCTTGGCTGGGAGAGGAGGTAGACGAGGAGCGGCTGCCACCACGTGCGCCCGTCTTCTGGCTCAGCTGACTGACACGCGACTCCACTGCCTGTACAAACTGCACGTTGAGACTGAGGTCGAGCAGGCTGTTCAGCTGGTACGGGTCCCGGCGCATGTTACAGCTCAGCACCATGTGACCATTCTGCTCAAACTGGAAGCAATCGTGCCCTGCACACAGCATAGGCACAAGCACAATGATTTCTTGTGGAATACCATATGTATTATGTAAAACTTTTGCAGAGAGCTTGCTAGAAACAGTTCATGCAAGTAGAACATATGCAACTTAATGTTGACTTTTTTATAAGTGTTCAGAACATATGTGCAGAGTAATAGGGCCAATTAGCCCTGACACACTAAAAGGGCTGAAAGTTTGTATCGCAATTCTCAGTGCTCTCTAAAGCTCACGAATGACCATGAAAAAAAAAAAAAGAGCAACATGGAATAGTGTGAAATGCTTTGGCAAGCATAATGGCATCAAATACCATGAAAGCTCCACATTTTCTCATTTGAAAGGTAAAAACCATAGATGCCTCATCAAACATGAAAATTGACTGCCAGCATCGACCGGTGTCTCGTGGTGTCAGCATCAACACGAGTGATGCAAAAAAATCACCATCACAGTATGACAACACCACACGACGTCAGTATGACATCACATTACATGATGCCACATGAGGACGTACATCATCGCATGACATTTTTGCTTGGTAAAAGGTGTACCGATCACAAAGGCAATGCAAAACCAAGTAAGGTGCAGGAAGCTTCCAATGCTTCCAATCCAGGGGGCTGTGCAAGACCACTGTAGGCACAGAGAGCTTTCATATGGGACCGGGGAGAGATCAATACATCAACTGAGAGAAAGAAGAAAACGGCTTTCGCCTTTGAGTCATCTTAGGCAAATGCATAAAGGGCCCGTTGACATCTTTTTCATCAATGCAAAGTGGCCATTAAGGAGCATTAATGGTAGTATTGCAGATGGCCGATACATAGCTAGTATACAGCACTGATAAGTTTCTGAAGAAATTGCCAAGTGTAAACGGGTATCGGAGGGTATTAGGATGATATTTGCTTAACCCAATCCTCTGCTACAAAACCACTGCCATAATAACTACATCTGGGGTTTAACGTGCCAAAACCACTACAGTGATACCTCTTTAACTCGAGCTCGCATATCTAAAAAAATCGACTAAGTCAAAATTTTCCGGGACATTTTCCTATGTGTCCCATGTATACTTTTTTCCCTTTATCTCAAAGTATTGTTGGGTCGAACTGCAGATAGCTTGAAGTCTTGACTGCAAAAGAAACAACAATTCCACCACCAGACAATTTCACAAGATTCGCGCGATACTGCTACGTCTGAAGTCCATCGATTTTATTTATTTATTTATTTATTTAGCGGTGCCTGCCACTACGTGTATGCTTTTTGCGAACCTGAAGCACGGGTAGTGTCAGCCAAGCGACATACCAACTTTGTCAGGCGACTCTGTGGCACGTCATGTGACACGTGCGCTGAGCAGGGAAGACCTCTGCCCACGCTTGGAGTACGGTAGTTTGTCTTGTTCGCTTTGTGTAGTGCCCGTGATTTTCCCTGAGGTGTGATTTCAGTTCATCTGTGCAAACTAAGTAGCAGGAATTTTTCGCTGACTGTGAGAAGCGGCAACTTGGCGCGAGTGCGACAAGCATGACGTCAAAGCAGTGCAAGTTGCTAACGCTAGGAAAAAGCTTGCTCTAATTAAAGAAGTGAAGAAAAAAGGCCGAACAAAATCGAGTATCGCGCAGGAATTCGACATCACTTTGTCTACGCTTTTGACGATGCTGATAAACACGCAGAAGGTGCCGAATGGATTTCAGCAGAGGTTCTCCAGCCAGAGGAAGCAGGCTCGAGAGTCAAGTTCCGAGACGTCGAAGCGTCATTGATGGTATGGTTGCAAAATACCAGAACAGCCTACCTTCCCGTCCCCACAGCAATAATGACGGAGAAGATTCTCTGGAGAAGATGGACAGATTCTCTGGCCTTGCAAATGGGGAACACGGACTTCAGTTGCAGGAGCGGCTGGTTTGACCACTTAAAAAAAAAAAAGAACAGTGTGATGTCGAAGTCAGCGCACCGCAAGAGCGGCACTGTCGACGCAGCCACTGAAGATGATTGGCGCAGCAGCCGGCTCACCGAGTTGTGGGAAGCATTACGCTGACAGCGACATTTTCAACCTTGATGAGGCAGCACTTTTTTATGAAGTGTTGCCAAGTCGCACCTTCACACCGAAAGGTAAAGCGTACTTGGGAGTGAAACAACAGAAGGGCAGGGTCACTATCCTTTTTGTGGCAAAATCCACATCTGAAGAGAAGCTGCTGTTACTTATAATTGGCAATACTCTTAAGCTTAGGTGCTTTAGAAATGCACGGCTGCCAAATGGCCTTATATATCGTGCGAATAGAGTGGCGTGGATAACTGCTACTCTTTTCGAAAAGTATGTTCACGCTATACATAACAAGATGGCCAAGAAAAACAGAAAGTTCCCGTTCATTGTCGACAACTGTCCAGGCCACGGCAAACTAGAGGACTTGAAGGCAGTGACAGTTAAGTTTCTGCCTGCACGTATGACACTGCAGCCGATGGACAAAGGGACCAAGGTGTTGATCGAAGTGATCCGAAAAATCTACCAAAACAGCCTTCTCCACATAATTTTTTCGTCTTATGAAAAGGGCAAAGGCTATGAAATTGCCCTGCTGGGAACAGTACACCTTCTTCTCAACAGCACGAGGCAGCAAGTTTGCGCAGTGGCTATCGCCAACTGCTTTGCGCACACTGGGTTTTTATGTACCGCCAGTTTATCAAAAGCAGAGACGGCAGAGACAAACGACTTCACAGACTGTGGGGAACTTTGTCAAGAGATCATCAAGCTTACAGGTAACGATGCCGCTGAAAAGACGCGACGTTTCTCATGTATGCGCTGTGTGAGCAGGACGTGGCGGTGACCGGAGAAATGACGGACGCTGAAATCGTTCAAATGGCTACTAACGTAGGGGACGGCGAAGACGACAGCGATGACGAAACACCTCGAGAAATGGCGACATTTTCTGAGACGAGAAATTTGCTGCGCTTGCTTCGAAATAAGGTCGAGTGCAGCGGCGGGGAAGATCGACTGATGTGATGCGACAAGCTGCTGGAAGACACCTTCATAGGCCTGAGTAAGACCGCAAAGCAGATGACCATTAGGCAGTTTTTCTCTGCTAAATAAAATGGCGGTGCGGCAAAACACAGCCTGTTAAGGTTTCTTGTAGTATGTTATTTTTTTCTCTTTTAAACCTGCACGCGGCAAAGAAGGAATAGAAACTGCCACTGAAAAGCCAGTAAGTAGCAGTTATTTTTCGAAAAAGCGCTCATTTTTCGGCGATTAGCACAACTTGGCTTGTATTTCAAAATCCATTTGTCTTTAAATTTTTTCCGGTTTGTACGACTTTGAGTTGACGAGGTATTACATAAGATAATGAGAGATGCCGCCATAGAGGGCTCCAGAAATTTTGTTTATCTGGTATTTTTTAATGTACACTGACATCGCACAGTGCACGGGCCTCTACCATTTCGCCTCTATTGAAATGCGACTGTCGCGGCCAGGATCGACCTGTGACCTCTAGGGTCAGCAACCGAATACCTTAGCCACTGTACCAACGAGGCAGACAAGTAGAAGCTCTGCAGACACATATATTGCTAAAAGAAACACCGATTTGCACTTAAAAGCAACTTGCACATTTGAATCGGAAAGTCGGGCATCAAATGGGCAGACCCAGAAAATCACTCCGCCACGACTGTTCTTTGGTGTCATGAAGCCAACATTCGGCCAGGATCTGTATGGACAACATTGTGGCGCAAGCTTTAGCTACTGACACAACTCACATTATATGCCAAAAAGAGAAATTTGAAACTGTACGGCCTATTCCATTAAAAAAAAAAAAGTTCGCTACCATTGCTGTTTTAGCATGGCCATTTATTTTACTAATTTAAGTCCTAATTATCAAACGACAGGTTCTGTGCATTAAAAAAATTTATATGCAGATTCATAACACAATGAGGCCAAGCAATTGAAATCACGATTGGCATGCACTATAGTGAAAAACTGCAGCACTAATGGGTCCATTAATAAATACAGCTACACACTCGTGGGGATACTCCTGGCAAGCATCCCCACTTTCCTCACTTCTTACGTCTCAAGCCAACGAAGCTAGAGTTACCCTTTCCATCGAGGCTTTGTCGTATCTTGTGCTCCTCATATTCCAGGTGCTGCTCTAGGCGCATCTCGGGCGGTGCCTGCTCGCTCAGCAGCTTGGCATTCTGGTAGAGCCAGCGTTCCCGTTGTTCCTGGTACTCACGCAACTGGCCAAGAGTGCGCTGCAGAGACCTGGAACAATGAAGCCAATGGTGAGGAGGTCGTATACTGGCATACCTTGTGCATGTTTGGGGACCGTTCAATCTGGTCTAAAAAGAATGCTCAAATATGGGAGTTTTCTCAGGCTCGTGCGTTTAGCCACGCAGGAGCCCCAAACATGTTCATGAGATGGAGAGAAGAGGTGCCCCAGAGACTGTAAACCTTGAACAGTTCCAACAACTCGCTGCATTACGTTCTGTACACGTCTATAGTGCTGGAATGTACCATGGCTAACCAACAAATAAGCTATGCATATATACCTAAACTTCTCTATTTAAGCTCTAACCTTTTCGAAAGACTCCCTTTCAGTGACAAAGTTTCTTGGAAACATCTTTATTTTTCCCTTCAGCAAAAAGAGGAAGCCATGTCTCTGGATACAGGCTGTGTACAGAAAAGTGTTCACAATACAATCATGACACATATCTATCTATTAATTCCTTTGCATTTTTGAAAGCTGTAATCTGGCAGCTATAGGAATTAGAATTGTTGCTTAGAAATTTAGATTTGGAACTGTGGAAAGTCGGAGAGATTAAAGAGATAAGAGCATCACGTTTACAAATCTGCAAGTCAGCATCAAACTCTTAGATAACTTTGACAAACAGTGACTGTTCGAGTATCTCAAGCCAACAGGTATGTACATTTGGAACCTAGCAACTTGCACTCAAAAATGATTGCTAGTGGCCACCTACATTCGAGAACGTATTGTCACATTTAATATGACCTGCAAACAAGGGAGTGCGCATCCACACAATCTCCAAAGTTGCACATGTCTTCCACTCGTTCTTATTTTCACAACTAAGCAATATTCTTCTATTTGGGATTCCAATCAAGCAAGAGATTGTTTAGATGTAGAAATAAGGACGACCGGAAGCTATGTGCAATCTTCAAGCTTATGCAGCCACATGCTGCCATGCTGCAAGTCATATTAAGCATTACAGTAAAATATTAGTAGGCAAATGGCTTTTTTTTTGCTATAATGCTTGAACGATAAGAGAAGTTTCCTTCACTCTTTTTTTTAATTTGCCTTTCTGAACCTTTCTGAAAATCTAAGTTCACAGAGGACGAAGGAACACACAGGAAGCTCAATTGACAGGAGAGTTGAGGCAGTGCAGTGTCCTTACGTGTGCTGAGCTTCCAAAGCAATCTCAAGCTTGCTGTGGCAGTGAACAGCATGGAGACGCTGACGAGCATTCTGGAAGTCAGGTTGCACTTTGAGAGTGTTCTCAAAGCAGACAATGCTCTTGTTGTAGTCTGCCAGGACCTGTTGAAACCAAAGCAAGTGTTTAAGGTCAAACATATAAAAGCAGTACAGGCGAGTGTCTGCACACGCCCAAACCCATTCACTCACACACACACTCTGCTCGTTCCCGGAGGCAAAAAGCACAATCAAGCCCACAGGCAGAATAAATTTGGTTAAATGTGCAGCAAGCGCAGGGATTACAACTAGGAGTAAATGTTCTGTACCTTCTCACTCACATCTTGCATGTCTACCACAGTATGATGCCAAAGAGTGAAGTAGTAGACATGGCGCACTCACAGCATAGATGTTGCCCAGTGTGAAGTGGCAAATGGCATTGTCTGGAGCTGTGTCCACAGCTGCGTGAACCACAATGGCGGCTTCTTCAGACAGGTGGGCCCGGTGCAGGACATTGCCCAGGCTGATCAAGGCTACGTCCTTGTGCTCCCTGCATTGCGTAAAATTGCAGCTTGTTTGTATATTACAAATATTAACAGTGCTGAAACTGTGTTCAACCTTATCAATTCCATACAGTATTGTGCAAACCATAAACTCGATCAATTGACAACCAAGCAATGTGATTGTTAGCTGTCCAACACTAATATTCTGGTATGTGACCCTGGTTCAGAAAGAAGACTGTGGTGGGAATAAAGGAATGTCCAATGGAAACCCTCAAATCTCTTTTTTCTGAGATGAGTAGCCAGTTTTCACATCTTATAGCCAGATGTGGCTGCATACTCTTACACTGCACAGAGTGCACAGACAGAATGCATATAGTGTTCACAATGTATACACTACCTCTGCTGCATGGAGATGGCACGTACACTCTCCAACACAGAGGGTTAACATGAATATAACAATGATAAAAAGAGCCACACTACACTCGTCTTTTCAAACTTGTGCTTTCATAAAACTTAATTAAACTACAATGACAGTTGTTCAATTAAATGACAAATCGCAATGTTTCTCAATGTTTTACCTTGAATTTTCTAGAATATAATTGTTGTCCTGCGTGACTTTGGGTCCCTTGCTGTTAAAGGTACACTGACAAAGCCTAATCCGGTGAGAAAGCTTGGTTCCAGAGAGTAAAAATAAAAAGCAACGGGCATACAAAATTTTTCACAAGGAGTACGAGTAAGTGGGTCACAGAAAGGTCACACTTTTTTTTTTACTTTTACACAACTAAGAACAAAATCACTGCATAGTATTACCAATTTCTAGAAATGACTCGGAGGCCAGGACACCGTGAACCAGCATAGTAGCCCCACCGAGACTTAGCCCCATCTGTTGCGCACTGAACATTATAGACGTCATAGTCTCAGTATAAGACTTCACTACCTTACAGCTCACGATTCGCCATAAGATGTGCATCATAACCACCAAACAGCAGGTATCTACACTGTGTATTAGTTGCCATTTGAAGCATGCAAAAAATTATGCACAATTTTTAGCGCTGCCAGTAAGCCATGACTGCCTTGAGAGTACATTATATTTCTCGCTGCTACTCAATCGTAATCAATTTAGCAAGAGAATGAAAACTTTTAAACAATGAAATGCAGTTAAAACCCATATTCACATGGCAGAATCTGATAATATCACCCAACAAAAGCGATTCCAATTTCACCACTGCAGAACTAGCAGTCAGTTCCAAGAGCATTCGGGCACAAATTCAGTTGGCTGTCAACTTTCCTAACTAAGTAAGTTATGTAAAACTTTGCAATTAAAAGCTGCTTCAGCAAATGAAAAAGAAAAAAAAAACTAAATGGTGCGGGTGAATACCTGGGAGAAAAGTGAAGCGCTCTGCGTACACACTCTATAGCACTTGCAGCATCACCCTGCTCCCTCCAGTAGTAAGCAGCCAAGTTGAAGATCACCCAGGATGTGTTGTTCTGTGAAAAAAAAAATGCGACATATGCATTCAACCTTTCCCATGACACTCCAAACAGCTCAGGTTTTAGACCTCTCTTTCTCATAACTGCGCTTTCACAGCTAAATGTAGGTTCAATATACAGTAAAAGCTCGTTAATTGGAACTCAAAGGGGGCTACAAATGTGTTCAAATTAGGTGTTCAAATTATTGGGCAGGTGCTCGAACGAAAGGCCATCACATCACACTGTGTGAACAGAGCCCAAAGAAACCACCTTTGGACTCGTTATGAATTAGGTGCTACTAGACGTTCGCGACATGCGATTTTGTAAATTAGGTTCATAGAGCTCCAAAAGCAAAGGGAAACTAATTGATCCGTCAGTGATGCACCACAAACAAGCACAGACATGCACTCATGTGAGCACTGAGCCTCAAGGGGGGACATGGCAATGGGAATGGTAAATTTGGTCCAAATGTTCAATTTTCAATTTATTTTTCTGCAATCCTGAGAACATGTTTTACATCATGGTGAAGTATTAGACCAAGATAAGCAGTAAAGACTGAAAAAAAAAAAAAGAGTTTTACTGTTGGGCTGTCATCAAAAGCTACGAGAAAAGTGTGCTTTATAAAATGCAAATCTGCAGCTTTCTCTTGGCACAATGCCACTATATTGGCATCATTGTAAAGAGCACAGATTGGAGCTCAAGATAGCCACAAAGCTGCATCTCACCAATAAAAAGATAAAGCCAGCTCCCTTCAGAGTTCTTTCCTTGTGGGACCTCTAAGAGGAGAACGCCAGGCTATCGGAGTGAACGGACGCAGTTGACACGGTCGGAATAAACCAAAACAACACATTTTTTATTTAATTACTATTAGATTGACGATACCGCCAGCCAAATTAATATAACATTCAATTGTGATCAACACGCTAAAACAATTTTACACAAAATTACACAACACTAAAAAAAAACATAACAAACACAACAACACACACAAGATGGCTTCGCCAACATCTGACTCAACACGATGGCCCCGGCAGATGACCTGCGGTGCCGTGCACCGGGGACCCACGCGAGCGACAGCCATTCGTGCCAATCGCCACCCACCAAAAAGGCCCGCTTCTCGCTCCTGTGCCACCACGCAGGCTTGCCGCCAGGCGTCACTGCCGGCGCCACCGTTCTAACCATGATGATGATGGTGGTGATGAACTCTCGCTAGCAAAACGCCACCTACCGTTCGATAGCTGTGACCTGTGAATGCGGCCTATGTGCAAAACACGTGTGCCAAGAGGTGCAAACTACTTTACAAGGGGTTTTAGCACCCTCACAAGTTTCAATTTCTTCGAACTCCATTTTCTCAGCTTTCATTTTTTGAGCAGTTGCTGTCAGTCATCCCTTTGCCAGTTTGCCATGAATGAAGACATAGCCATTCCGTTTTGTGCACTTTGATCGTGAGACATTGGTGAGTGCCGTGAGGCTGTCAATATTTGTGTGCACATTATGCATATCTTCACAATTGTCTTTTTGTAAAAGTTGTTAGTAAGACAATACGCCCAGGACGTTTCAAAAATTTTTTGTGAGCTTACTTGAATATTAAAAATAAACCAATAGCGTAATGCCACAGAATGGGCCCTTGTGAATATTCTTATGCAAAAACAAATTTATATCTAACTAATTAATTCATTAAATTTTGGATTATAATGAGACACTATTAAAAGTTTAACTCAAGAGAAAAAGACAGGTTCATTTACAGAAAGGCAGAGCAGTCTGCCTGGGCGATAGCTTGTAACTCAAAACTACATTCGATAGCTCAAACGCATTTGCATTATGAATTTCATCACTTTATCTTCATAAATAACAAAAATAGTTTTCACTGCCACGTCTTCCCTCAATGTCAAAATATATAGTGCTAATTATGCTCCAAAACACACTTATTATGCAGAAATAATGCAATCAATATGACAAGTAATCAGAAATTCCCATTTCCTTACATTTCTTCTGTCGAAAGTCTGTAGGAATTGTTAGCAGCTCGCCCAAGAGCTGAAGCAGAGCACACACATGCTCATCGCTGAGAAACGCTGCTGTTTCATTGTTTTCCATCTCTACTCGTTTTGGTTTGGCTTGACTTTGCGGCGATTTGTGATCACACAGGACCGTCTTGTACAAGGAGCGAAGGAAACCAGGGGCTCCTATTTCGAATTATGTATTGCGGATACTGATGTCTTATAATTATCAGGAATTTTCCCTCATAGAAATACACAGGGCTGTGCCAGAACCCGGGTGTTCATTTTAATTAACTGTAAGTTCAAATTAACAGAGCTCAAATTAATGAGCTGTTACTGTAGGATTCAGAGAAAGTGAAGGCTCAACACAATCAATGAAGTGTACCTGACATTAGAAAGTTTGTCGACAAGAACACTCCGTAAATACAAACATTTTTAAAATGCATTGCTGTTGGAGATGCATTACCAATGCTACTGCGATACAAGGCTCCAATAACATTGCAATCTGTAAGCACTATAAGTTTAGCAATGTTTTCATTGTTTTTTTACACCCACGAGCACCAGCAATAGAGAGGCATCCGTTTTCTCCAGACAAACAAATGTGAGATAGCCCTTTTTGTCAGTTTGGAATAGATACACATAAGGTGAGAACCAGACAACGAGGCTCCAGTGGTCTTACTTTAGCCATGGCTTTGTACACCTCGTAGCCAAATTGCTCCGTCCCTTCAATTGCCGAGACGGCCCGATGCAGCCCGGCCTCTGGTGTCATGGTCAGGTTCTTTCTCTCTCGAACACCCTAGTAAAGCAGTGAGGAAGGCATTGAAATTTTTATCACAAAGCTCCAAACTAAACCACCTTACAAAAACTTGTGCATAGCCACTAATTACATTCACTGCAATACAAAAAGATTTATAACCACTAAAAAAGAAGTAAGAGACAGAAAAGGATGTCACTTGCAACTACTATAAGAAGTTTCAGTGAACAATCTTCATCACAACAGCTAATTTTTTACACTAATCTACAAAATGCCACTTACAGTCAGATGTTCGAATGAATGCATGCTGAAATCCAAATCCAGCGCACGAGAGCAGTTTGGCTTTGGAAGGTCACCACGGGCAGCCCGCTGGTCTATTTTCTCCCAGTGACTGCAGCAGATAAGAAAAACCGAGTGATCTGGCGTTAACTTGCCATCAAACAATGCTTTAGAGTGTTGACAATTTTCTTTTCAAAGGTAAACACTGCCAAGCCTTGATGATGTTTCATGAAATTTCACAACCAATAGTCTCGTTCAGGAGAAATATGAAACAAAATCAGCTAATTCCTGAGTCAATATTGAATGAGCCCTGAGAGATATGTGTCTTATGGTAACAGCTTCGCATAGTTGACAAAGTGCAACCACCAAATAGTTTTGCATGAATAATGTGAATAACAGCAGCACCCACAGAACTGTATCTGAGAAATTGCTGGGATTGCAATCATTCACCTTTGCAAGACTCTGCGTTTAAGATTGTAGTCGAAGTTGAAAGCACACGAAAAATGCTTTCTCACTTGTGAACTGCATGTGCACCCCAGACTTACAGCCAAGCTTCTACAGCATCATAATTACTATTAAAGAGTACTCTAAAATAACATTAACTTCATAGCATGATTACATAGAAAAGCGGCAGTTTTAAAGTGACTTGACCAATTTACAATTAAGTACAATCACATGCTAGTGCTTAAATCTAAATTTCAGCTTCTTATTTTCCTCCCTCAAAGTTTCAGCCTGAAATGCTGTTTCATGTCTTTTTTTTTTTCATATATGACATTAGCACTTGCAAAGTAAGTATACTAAATGATATAGCTGCTACACGGCTTTCATAGTAAAAAGCTCTGTGACACGCAAGCAAAGCAAATATGATTCATGATATATTAAAAACAATATTATACACCTTCTCTGAGCAGATTAAACTTTGCCTGTGGTGCTGCAAAGCTGTAACAGACACAGCTGGGGGCATGGGACAATAGATAGGTAGAAATTTGTTGAGGTTATACTTAAATTTGTAAAAAGCTAGCTTGTATTAAACAAAAAAGGAAAGACCTGCCCTGTATGGAATGTCACAAAAAACGGAGGTGCTAAGGTTTCACTGTACGCATGCTAGCATAAAACAATGTTGAACGAAGATGCACCAAAAATGTTATTAGTTCTATACCGCTTTTGTTCCTTAAACAGCTGAATTGAACACTGCTAAAAATGTAAATGCAGAATAAGTGCACCTTTGAGAACGTTTCTTTCACTGCAGCAGCCCAAGCAAACCTAATGTACTGCACCCCAAAGAGTGCTAGGGTCATAGCATCGTTTCTTCTCCTTGCCCAATGTTACAAGCTGCCACTCTAGCGTCGCCAGCGCGAAGTCGGCGACGGGAATGACAGCAGGTTGGTTCGTTCCGTACGCAAGCAGAGACAGTGAAGAGATCAGAGACGTGAGAAAACAAAACAAACTTTACTTTAGTGATATTGCAGCACACGGGATCTAATACAACACTTCAATACAACTAACAAAATACATCAACACTTGATACAACTAAAAAATACATATAAAAACAATAAATCATCTTACGCGAGAGAACTATTACAAACTACACAAACTAACACCAATAGACTACGGGGGAGAAAGTTCGAAGATATAAACAGGTGAAGGCATACGTGTGATGACCGGCAGCGTTGCGTCCCCGACGATCGGATGCGAGAAGTCGAAGAGAGTTCTGGCACGACTGCGATGTCGGCGGTGTTGCAACGCTGGTGGCTCCGGGAGGCTAGTGCTTGCAGGTGACTTCGAGCAGGTTGAGCTAACTCGAGGCGAAGTCCCGATGTCTACGTTGCAGACGTTAATATAGCGTCACAACTAGACGAACGGCTAAGTTTAGGTGGCCAGCCGATACAGAGCCACACTAAAAACTTCTAGAAGAGATGCTTGTTGATCTGTTTCTACACCATGTTGGTCAGCGACTAGTCTGCCTAGCAGGGCAAAATCCTGCGCTTAAATACCCCACGTGTCTCCTCGCTCTCTTCCTTGGGGACAAGAGACCTCTACATGGGTCCAATCATGCGCGTTTAATTGATGCAAACTCCGCCCCAAAAATATTTTGACCCCACTCCTTTTTAATTGGGAGAGGGCCCTCAACTAGCGAGAGTGACAACCTGTCGGGTTGTTGTCATACGGCTTGGCCACCAGAGCGTTTCCCACGCTTTTCCCCGTGGGAACGGTCAACCGTTTGGTTCTCAGCCGGTGCGTCTCCTAGTCTAATCCTTGTTCGGGGTATACCGCGGCCTTCTACGACCTTGCACATGTCGCCGCAGTTACAAAAGGGTCGACCGTCGACGGCGACGTTCTAAGAAGAGCACCCCATTCTGCACTTCTCGGCTTCCTTTCATGCGCCACCGTTCTCACGGTCAGTCGGGGAGTACGGCGGCCGTTAATTGCCGTGAATCGGTGTCGCCAAAAATGGCCGTCCGTGACACCCAATAACGCAATCAGCAACCCACTGGTGCACAAAACCAGGGCACCACTGATGACGCAAATGAAACAAACAAAGAAATTTTCTAAGGCACTTTGGGAACTGGTGCCCTCAACTTCCTAGAATGCTCATTTTGCTTGATTTGTATGTAGCTGAAGAACGCAAGAGGAATTTTCATTTATCCTGACATGGTTCTTTTTACTTCTGGTAAGCTACACACATTGCACCCAGGAAATCATGGCTAAAAGAGACTTATGGGACCACTTCTTCTGCCTTGTTAATACAGTGTTTCTCACGTCCATGGGCATCAACAGGGGGATGCCAAAAAATGCACCTTCCTCCCCACAACCCCCCAAAGTACACCAGCAGTTCCCCTCAACCCCACCGTGATGCTTTGCAGCTCTGCATTCCCCAATACAAAATCCTGCCAACAGCAGGCTCATGGTTAACTCAGGAGCTAGTTTACCAAAGCAGTTTGACACACTAGAGAGAAGCCTAGCAAATGCAATAATTGTTTTGCCTCACCATTCGTAATGTGAATAAAAATGACAACAGAAACAAGAAACAATTCTGTAAAGAAAAAAAAACTGGAAAGGAAGAAAGCGATAAAATAGTTTTTGTCTTTGCAACATACCTCTGTATTTTGTGGTCGAAGGGCACCACTGTGCTGACATACAGGTCAAAGTCTGTGAGGGGTTGCCCAGCCAGCAGACAGTCCTTGTCGGTCGAGTACAGTCGCTGCTCCACATCGGATGCCTGGTCCTCACACCAGTCAATCTCCTGCTTTCGTTGCAGCAGCTGCTGCTTGAACTCCTCGACTTGCACGGCACGCTCCTCTTGTGCCAGCAGTCCTAGCAGGTCGTAAGGTCGCCGCAGAGAGAATACGCTGTCAATCTGCACTTTGCAGAAGGGGCAAAGGTCTGTGACAGTTTGAAGGCGACAGAGGCAATTGCTGTGCTTTGTGGTCATGATATGCAGCGAATAAGTGAAGGCGCAGGAGTGAAAATGAGGTTCTAGCATTCAATGTGTCATCATGTAAGTAAGGTAAATCCAACAAAGATTTCCAAGATAGGTTGATGCTGAATCATCTGATGCACAAAACTACAGTGTCATGCTAGATCTCAGTCCCAGAAATTCCGGCTGTCCAGGAAAACAATCACAGACCTCATCTCATCATCTTGAAGTAGCAGAAAAATAGGTCACTATACATTGTATCTATCTAGTGACGTTTCTTGCTTCGCTTTGCGCGAAGATGAATAGAAAGTTTAATTATTAAAGCTGCCAACTATAACTAGCTTTGTATGCTAAACTAGAAAGGTGATTGCGACAGATCCTTTAACAGCGGCTTTGTCATAACAGCAGCGTTTCCATTGTGTACACGATAGCTCAAACTAGGACACACATTATCCACGGAAGCAGGTGTGCTGATACAACGCTTCCTAGAACAACTAGGAGGCATTGGCTGATATCAATCAGCAGTGACATCGTGGATGGCGCCAGTAAGCAAATATTGCGAAGGAGCGCCATGAGCGTTTGGACTCAAAATGCTAACGAAGGCGTGGGCGACTGCATTCGCGAACTAAAGCGGTAAATGCAAAACAGAGCTGCTGCTGCCCTGTCAGAGATATGGGCGAGGCGAATTAATGCACACAGTTGTGAAAGCAATGCATACAACACACATTAGTCGAGAAAATATGTTTCCGTTAACGACCGGAACCAATGGGTGTGTGACCTCCAGTGTGCGCCTAGGCGCGGCACCGGTGGTCCTGCGGTAAAACGCACAATAGAACACTTTTCCGCACCTGCGGCTGTATTTTTCCATCTTCGGTAACCACCCAGTGCGTGGAACATTCCGTGTAATATGCAAGAAATGACAGAAACACGTGCCCGCAGATTCCGAAAGTAAAACTGTGTCGCCCCATAGCGTCCATGCTTTTCTACCGCAGCGATGGTGATGACCATATCGACTGCACCTTTAGCTGCATGTTTAGCTGCAAGCGTGACTTTTAAACTCACATTCATGAATATTTGTGTATATACTCTGTCTTGTATTTTGTATGCAACAGTGAAGTTTCTGCTAATGAGCTGGTGCTTAAACAGTGTCGGCATTGTATGTCTTTATAAATCATTTATTTGTTAGATTACACGTTGTGGGGAGCGCGACTTTCGAAAATGATGTCTTGTGTGAAGTGGTGATTGGCACCACTAGGGGCGCAAAAACTTTACCGTGACCTTCAAGTCAGTTTTATTAACCAGCAATTTGCGAAATAGTTGAGGCATTATGCGCCCCATCATTTGATTCACCCATTTTTCATCGGTGCATTCAAGAACACATGTGTCCATGGAGGAGCACACCAGAAATGTACTGAACCAACGCCTCCTATATTTCTTTAAATGTCAGTGCTAACTCGCTCTTCTCATCGGGAGCCGTCGGTTTGCCTTAGTTCAGGGAGTAGTCGTGATGCGACGCTATATGAAGGGTAGCGCTGCTTACCTCACACGTGCTTCCGAGCGCATTCCGCCGGAGATGCGATAGACAACATCTGTCAGATTTATTCCTTTGTGCTCATTCACGGTTGGGCTAAATTGGCGCATATGTCTGGCATTGATGAAATAGAGAAGGCGTTGATCAAACATTCCTTCCTTTTTGGATGTCACAGGCAATGTTTCTGGCTCAGCGCTCAAATTAAAACGCCCGGGGAAATGTGCGCACATGTTATCAGGCGGTTGTGGTGATTCGTTTCATGCACCCGCAATCACACACGAAAGACGCTAAGGCGGAAGAATATTCAAATATAGCCTTCATTCAATTCCGCTGCTGCAACAAGAAAAACTCTCCAAGGCCTTGTGTCTTGATGGCAAACAGGCATGTCGAAACACGCCCTAAGTGACAGCTTGAGCCACGTGTGACCTCAGAAGCTCATAAAAAAAAAGACTACTAAGAATAAAAGCACAAGCCTTTTGTATTAGATGCCAGCTTTATAAACGATTAACCTTATTACACTACTTTCATGCAAGTGGCATTGCAGAGACTTTGTTACAACACAATATTAGTAATGATGATCTTCCTCCTGTGTTTCATAATGATAGAACAAGGAATGGTAGCATTACGTTCTTAATGAAAAACTCAATAAAACAAGAACAACCTCCCATCATTTATGACTAAGTGAACATATGGTGCAATTTATTCCCTGCAGGTGTCATTTTAACTATTGGTATTATCTATAGCACATCTCACCCTTCAGTTTTTTCAGTAGCTTTATGAATATGTTGAAAGCTTAACTAACCAAAGTTAATACTTATGGCTGACATAGACTTGTGTGATGTTGACTAGGACACATGAATATCTAGTAATACTGTCTAGACTTTACACACAGTATGTATGCTGGAAATGATGGGATAACGTTGCACAATTAAAGTGGTAAATATAGCTTTGCAAATGCAAGGTTAAGACTACGCAATAGTGATCAGTCAATATTTATCAAAAACTATGCTTCATTATCAGCGTGACAAAGTAAACAGAATATAGGACCATAAACCACAAGTCATTCTTTGGGGGAGATGATAATGGCGTGACCAAAACATCGTAACATACAAGTACTAAATTTTCAGAGAGCAGATGCCACATTGATTCTTGCTAATCTAGAGACAGCTGTTAAACATAATTTTACAGGGAGATGATTTGTACAGTGTCTTTGGAGATGTTTTATGTCAACAGTAGCAGCGTGAATATCAGAGTCTGTACATGATAAAAAAAAATTCATACAGAAGGCGAGCCTCCTTTGGATTAATAGAACTCATATCTACTTGAAACACTGACCACAGAGTGCGCAATAAGCGACAACAAGTATCCGCAGCACGAGTTCTGCTTTTAGCATGCAAGTTTGCAAATAAATAAAAACAACAAGAACAAATTTGTTTACCACTTTGGCCACCAGATACAAAAATGTAGTCTGAAATGGTTCTGTTTAGAAAGAAACAAGCAATAACTTCTGCCCTGATGAAGATCGCATTTGTAGCAAGCAGGGTCTTCAAAGCTATGGATTGCAAAATAATTTTACATGCTCAGAACTCTCGGTCGGTCAAATAGGCTCCAGATTGCAGATATCTGGTGACACAAACCTGACAAATATTCAAATTTTCATTTTAACCTGTAGAAAATTCTCAGGACCAGAAAACAAACCACCTGGATTCCTGAAGTGCTACAGTAAACATGTTGTAGGCTTCCTGGCAAAAATATTTAGGCCATCGTTAGGCACTGGTGCGTTACCCGATGACTGGCTAGTGGTCAGGATGGTGCTAGTATTCAAAGAAGTCAAGTATTAATAACTGCCACCTTACTTCAGTTACCTGCACTGTCTGTAGATTCTGTGAATATGCCCTTCATAGATACACAACAGATTACATGTCAAAGCTTTCCTAATTTAAAGAAGAATTCCAAAGGTGTTTTTCTACTGCAACTAGGCTGTTTGAGACAATTCAGCACTTTGCGGCTGCCATAAACAATAAAGAAAGTCGAGATGCCATAGTCCTAGTTTTTTCTAAAGCCTTAAAATGGGTTTGCCATGCAGTTTGCGCAGCGCTTTTATGACACTGGCCTTAGTCTCAAGAATAGTACAGTAGGTTAAAGTATACCTAAATGCCATAAAAAGTACACAAAAACTTCTAATTAGCAATTCTAAAACTCGCCACTTCCATCCTTTGCCACTTCCACAGGGGTCGATATTGAGACTGGCAATATTCTTAATATGCATTACCGATACAGCCATAAACACGAACCAGAGAGAGAGAGAGAGATAGCCCCTATCCTGTATTGTTTGTCGTCTCGTGTTATCATTTTGCCCAGCGTTTATCATGAAGATCAGAAAACTATACTCCAGTTTTGCACGTCATTTTTCATCTTAGCAGTATAATGCAACAAACATCCCCGGAAGCAGGTTTGAGGAGGCGTCAGGCAGAGGGGGCAGGAGACGATGACAATGAAGTTTTGCGAGATGAACCCCTAGATTGAACGCTTACACTGGAGCCCCTTTGTATAAGACACTTAGAGCTCAAGACACCAGTGTGCCTACACTGAAATAAAAAACAAACTGATAATGAGAACATGGTACCCTGTTTGTAGGAGACACCTTATATAAAGTGCAAGAACTGCTCCCCGATGCATGTCTCTTATAAAGGGGTTCTACAGTATTTGATTGTCTGTCTAATGTTTGGTGGGTAAAAAGCACCCATAAAGAAATTTTACAGAATGAGTCTTTGCAGTCTATAACAACTGCAGTATTTCATGGAATAAGTAAGTTGATTATGCTTGTAAGACTGCACCACGTAAGATATTGTCCCATCTTGCTCCCCAAGCTACTGATGGTGACATTATAAAACACACAAAACAAATTAAACATCTTGCAGAGACTACAAACACAATCTAAAATTGAGCCACCATGTAAGAATTGTCTGTATATACTACACACTTTGAAAGTTCAGCTTGTTTAAAAGAAAACTGAAGCATGGAAATTCTGACATAAAAACAAGTGCATAGTTGGCAAAATCTTTGTACTAGTCAGGAGTACGAGAGTATGGTATGGCAACCTTACCATCAATACCTAATCAATAAAACAGAAATGTCTAGTCTCCTAGACTTCTCCCACTTCAACTGAATGCGGTAAGTTACCAACCTAAAAGCAAACCTTTGAACATTTCCTGAAATCAGGAATGTTTCCAGATAAAACTTCTTTTCCATTTGGACATCTGTATTCCAATTTTGCACTAGCTAACACCTGGCAGAATATTTTCAAAAAAAAATATTTTGTGCTTTTATGCCTCATTAGTTCACAACAAAGGTCTCAATACACTATTTTAGTAAAGATTATGAGCTAGAACAAACTTAATGAAGGGGAGTTTGGAATTGCCGAGTCCACTATTAACTATAAGAAAAATGGGAAATTGTTGCTTCCCTTTTTGTGAATGTATCTATTTCTTTTACTCTCAGTAACATGTTTCAGCTAACAAACAATTATCTATGCGCACATCGCATTCTCATTACGAGATAGTAACAGCTCATTGTAATAAACTGTACAAACCTTTAATAGCTCCAGGAGGGGCCCCGGTATAGACAAATAAAACATATTTTTTTTTAAATAACAAAAGTTGCGATTCCCAGGTAACAGCATGCCATGACTTTGCTGCTCAACAAAAGCCCAGTGCACCACTGCTCTTGCAAAAAACTTCAGTTTCACACAACATTTCAAGGTAGCCTTTGTAGGCAGTTGCTCAATGATGAGAATACAGCAGATTCTGAGTAAACATAAATCTGTTATATGGAACTACTGCGTAAATACAACAACTTCCTCTGACATTTGTTTCATCCCTGAATGCTGGAACCCAGTTCACCTCTCAGTAAACAGAACTCCTGTTAAATGGAAGACATTTTTTTGGACCCTCCAGCTTCCGTTTATTGAGAGTCTACTGTACGTGCATGCAGATGTAAGGCAGGTCAGTGAACGAGCATCAGATAAAAACCTTATATCAATGTGTCTCCATGTTTTGCATTAGCTTATAATCCTTCACATTCACCACAAGGTACACTTTTCGTTTAAAAATGCATTTTAATTTATAATAAAAATACAGACTGCATCAGCAGGGCTCAAAAATAGTACTATACACAAACATACGCTCTTTTAACCACAACAGAAAAAAAAAGCAATATGAAATTTATGCCCTTTCATTAGTAAATAAACTTGTACACTGATCAATGAATGCCCACATTACTAAAGTAATGCTACTCTTAAAGGCATTAATGAAATGTTAAATATTAACTTGCTTTATAAGGGAACCGATGCTCCCTATAATATGGGGGACATTCAACTAAAAAAATGTTCCACCAAGAAAAAGCCACACTTACAACTGGAGGACTAAAAATACATGCGTAGCGGGAATGCATAGCCCAAACAGGGCTACATATGAGAGGCCTCCTCAAAGGTAGAATGAAATAAATATTCTACGGAGAACTCGCAAAATCTGGTAACCACTCAGGTGATGGTCGACCGTGTGCGCAAAGTGTTTTACACCACCAGTACATATGACTTCCATAGAACACTAGCTCGGCATGTGCGCCAGATATATGGTGGGCAGCACAAACTGTGAGCAAAGTTCAGACAAATGACAAGGCGTGTGTGCACTATCAGAGATAACGATTGTTCATGAACTAATCACAGTTGTGTTAAACACATTCACCTTTTGAAAGTGGAACAAAAGGAACACAGGAACATATCGGCAGGCGGCAATGAGGAACCATTTTTACAGGCTCCGGAACATGTAGCAAACTGATACACTGCCTGCCGTTGCAGTACGAAGTGGGGGCAACTGCCGGACGACAACCGGACGTTAGCAGTTGACGACAGGCCATGTATGTGTATATGCATCACTCGCGTATCATCATCATCAAAAGGATATCGCAAGTTAAAACGTGCACATTCCGGGATTCACGGCAAGAGTTTTAAGCACGGGACGTGCCACTACACTAGTGCACGATTGCCCGCGTGGTGAGAATGGCTACGTCTGAAGCTCCATTGCCTAAGGAAGGCATGGGGGCGTGCGCGATTTCCAAGTGGTCTTGCGTGTGGTACACGTCGCTCGAGTTTGATAGGTGGGTACCTTCCATCAGAAACTGTACCTGTAATGCAAAGGAGAAAAAAAGATAGGGTTGTTGGTATCCAGGACGCAAACAGGGATACTACGGCGGACAGACCGATTGTTGCATTCGTAGGGGCACGTCTTTGTTGAAAATGGCACAGAGATCAGCTAAACAAGAACAAACAGACATTTGTGCGTTTAGCTATGCACAAGAATGTATTACTGAAAATTATGAAAAAGAATAGCTATTTTAGTTCAGTGGGAGTAGCGGCACGCATTAACATTGACTGACCACTTATGTGCACAATTGCAAGAGCAGCTTTACAAAAGAATTGATTATGGACGCAATGTGCAACACTGCATAAAAATGCCCAAGAACAAATTGCAGCATGGCAGCTGCTCGCTAACATCCAACGTATCGTCCACTCACAACTGCAGGCGTGCCTGTCCTTGCAATGCTGCCAACACACTGTGAAGTTGCGAAGGTTGAGAAACTGGAGTGTCATGACTACTCGTTTTAATTGATTGATTGATATGTGGGGTTTAACGTCCCAAAACCACTATATGATTATGAGAGACGCCGTAGTGGAGGGCTCCGGAAATTTTGACCACCTGGGGTTCTTTAACGTGCACCCAAATCTGAGCACACGGGCCTACAACATTTCCGCCTCCATCGGAAATGCAGCCGGGATTCGAACCCGCGACCTGCGAGTCAGACTACTCGTTTTATATGTCCACTTTATTTTTAATGTAGTATTGCATCAAATAATACAACTAAGTTTTTCTTCAGAACAGGGATCAGGGTGGTATCCATTTAGACTGCATATGATTACGCTGTATTTCTTTCTTTCTCACTAAAGTGCCTTGTATGTGCTCCAGTATGAAAATACACTTCCAAACAGCTTCAATAGTAACAAGGATGGTACATAAAAAAATTGGAACTACAAAATATTTCAAAGGATGCTACAATAGAACGAAGGACTGAGACGTTTCAGGATTTCACTGACGTTTCCACCAGATATTGTCTATGCATTGGCAAAATAATGCTCTAAATAATATGCCTACATAACTGATAAACATATAATTCAGCTAACACCAAATTACAATAAGCAATTTTGAAAATGTAGGCATAGATACAGGTTTCAAAGACTTCTGCCCTCTGGTCAGCCTACAGTACCTCACCTGTGCACCGAGCGTACAAAAGAGTGCAAGTGACATTATTCATACAAAAAAGATCTAACAGCATGTAAGCTCGGCACCACGTGATAAGCTTTTGCCCAGCTTTTTTTTTCTTTCAAACGAGATGGAAACGATAAACCTAGAGAATGAGTAACGCTGAATCTAACAGCTGCTCCCTTTCAAAGTCAATTACAGCGTGATAATCTATTAACAGATACGGCACGTGTGCTCATCCTGAGTGCTTCTAATCAACAAAGCGTACTGATATCAGGCTATTACCCAATTCCATAGCTCTACGTAAAAAGGAACCAATTCAAGTGAAAGAAACACGTTTGTCATATTCTTCAAGAAAGAGTATATCACTAAAGTGACCCAGTGCAAATAAAAAGCTATCTACTATCATGCAAGAACTGACTCGGTTCAACCAGGTCCAGATATTACCAGTGCTTTTTGCAATGGCTTGAATTCACTGTTTAATTGCCCTCTTTGATATGACATCAGCAACTTGTATCATGCTGCAAACAGCCCTGATAAGCCACCCAGTGAACACAGCAAGCGATAAGCATTACAAAGGGCTACCCAAATGCAGCATTTCCTCTAAGAAACCCACAGGACACGACAGAGCAATGTGCAGAACAGAGCAATGTGCAGAAGAGAGGACAGCACCACACTTATGTAACAAGAGATTGCAAAGTGAGGTTTTCCTTTTATTTTTCAACTTGCAGAGCTGCTGCTTCCTTAGTACATTCTCCATGACCGGCTAAGCTTCGCAGGTACTACACCATTCTGATGGTTAATTAGAAGCAGCGCACGTGCTACTTTGCTTAAATGGAGCCTTCTGCCTACATATTGCACGAATGCAGGCCTCCCAGGCATACGTCAAGGTCAAGTTCTGTTCCCCCAGTGCTTGCCACCTTGTCAGGCCAAAACAGTGCGATATAGACCTCCAAGCTTTATCTTTTATACTGCAAGCAGCTGCTCTATTGTTCAGGAGCAATAACCACCACCATTAACATTGACATTTGAATGTTGTTAAAAAATACTTTGGCTTCTACAACCTGAAGGAAATGCAACCGTTAAACCTTAAACAAAGTTCTTACTGCTGATTAACAGTTAACCACTTCTATACTGCCATTCATGGAGTTATAAGTATGCAGATAATGGGAAAAGGTATCGCTCATTTGCAATAAAATTTTAAAACTAACAATGGTAAAATTTGTAAACTCTTGAGCTGCTCTAAAAGCATTACTATATACACATTATAAAGTTGTATAAAACAAATAAACAACATCATGCTCAGGTTAAAAATTATTTCCCCAAATGCTTTTAGTAGAAACTGTATTATATACACACTGTCCTTTGATAAAAAAAAAGACACAGCTCCTCACATTTGAGAAACAAACAAGGATGGAAAAAAATGAAAACAAAGATAAACCCTAACTCATCTTTCGTAGGTGCATATATAACATTCGACTAGAAAGTGATGCCCATGCTAAATGCATGAATTGTTTAACAAAACAGATGATGATGATTCAGGAAGCCTGTTCAACATGCAGAGTGCACCATTCTGGCAGAACTCCATGTTCAAGACATGATGATGCCGGAGGATGGACTTGGAGCTCACAAGAGCTATCAGTGTGAAACAAAACAAAAGCACCATTCGTGAAGAAAAAAAAAAAGTGGTGTTATGAATGATCCACACTTCTCCCGACGCTAAATTTAATACAGTGAAGTGCTAGTGACCGAGAGTCGCCTGGACGACTTTCGCTCAGTACAGATAGCCCAGGGGAACATGGTACGAGCCCTATGCTGCTGCCGCCACGAGCTATGCACCTTAGGGGAGCTGAGGCAGACTTGGCGAAGTTCCTTGACGAACGTGAGCAGGTAAATGTCCACTGCAAACACTAGGATCCACTCGGATGCTGTGCTTGCCACGTGGAGGTGGTAACCCTGCATTGCGGAAGGAAGAAAGAGCATTAGTTGCTCTGCGGACATATAGAAAAAAAAAGTCACATACATTCCCTATATGATACAGATATGGCCTTAAATTTCCTTTCACAAAACTTGGGTGAATTAGTTTCTGTCTTTTCCAATCGGTAACACAAATGTCAAAGACAGACAACCATATGAAGCCATATGGAGTCTAGGACAGCAAGGAGTTGTTTTCGGTCACCTTTAATTGAAAAGCGAGAGTTGTCAGATGAAAGGAAACAGATTTGCAGTAGACAAAAAAACAATTGCTAGCAATGAGGATTGAACCCAGAACATTCGCATTAGACGTGCATTACTCTACCAACGGAGCTACAGCATTAGGCGTTCCCCCCATTAGCTCCCTTGGTTATTTATGCATGTGCAACTCTGGGAATGCTAGAAGATGCCACTCATGGTCAAGGCAACAAATGCAGAACAATTTTTTGTGCAAACAAGATGGAGAAAAAAGCATCCTGAACAAACACTGCGTGAATTGGCCCTCTTATTGTGTGCCGCTTTTATACATTTTCTTCGTTCAAGCAACCTGCCAAAGCAACTATTTTTACTTATCTGTTTTGTCAATTGCCAAACAATGTTGCGAGAGAAGTATTTGACACAAAGATATCCTTGCTGCACACAGATCTTAACGAAAGATGCAATATTTGCTTCGTCACATCATGATTTTGCTGAACTATGGATAGGCATGTGTGTGTGTGTTGGCAGGGAAAGGGGATGAGAGTGCAGTGTTGCAAAGTTTATTATTTCGCAAGGAGGACATGGCACAGGGTAAATGCACAGATTAAAAGTACAGAGAAGAGGCTGGACATACACAAGCACTGACATCAAAGGACGTGGAAGCTCAGTGCAAATTAATGACAAAGGACCCAGATAATGTGCTTACTGCGGGTAAAAAGAAAAAGCTGAATGCCCTTATGAGAACGGCCACACAATGTGGAAGTTCTACCGGCTGTTACTTTCAGCATCCTGTAGTTATCGCTAGCGGCTATTACTTTGCAATGCAGGCATTACTCTCCTCATCATCTTTGATTCACAGGAGGCCACCAATGTTCATGAGGAACAGTGAGAAAGGAAAGTGTGTTACACTGCAATTCATCTTCAAAAGGGCACTTGATAAAACACGGACACAGGATGAAAAAACTGCAATGCTAATTTCACTTCCTCTTCTTTAAGCCAACCTTCTTACGTAAGAATCGAGCAGTCTGCAGTCCTAAACCACCCAGTATACTACTTTAGGCAAGCAGTGCTCTCCTGCGGTTATAGCAGCATTGTGAATTAGACTGCAAACCATAATGAGCACCTCAAAAGGCAGCAAAACAAATACTGGTCACCTTTTGTAATAAAAATGTGCGTACAGCACTGTTTGACAACACCTTAGTATGCACTTGGCTGCGATTCTCATGCATAACAGTACAGGTTTAGTAAAAAAAAAAAATTACACTGAAATGCATGTTAAACTGGACATAAATCATTCAATGCAAACAAACTTTTCTTTCTTAGCTTTGTGACTTGCACCAAGAACACTAATCAGGACAAAGGTTTTATTACACTGCACCCCCCACCCTAACTCAGGACCCCGTGCATGTCCATGGTATTGTAAACATATTTTTTTTTTAGATTATGTTTACTAATCTCATCCTAGCATACGTGCATGTGCTTTTAAAAACTTGCTACAATATGCATGAAATAACATCAACTAAGAATAGTAGCACAGATATGAACAAACCCCGTCTTCAGGCTTCCATTTCGTTTTGTCCTTTCCGTGAAATCTCTGAAGCGACATGGGTGCTGTGATGGCAGCTGAGGAGACAGAGTCAAGGAGATTTACGACATGAAACAAGAAAAAACAATGAAGGGGTGATAAAGCAACTGCTGCTTTTGGGGCTGAAAGTAGGCAAAAGCACGACATGGTTATGAAAAACGTCTGAGCTGCAGTTTAGGGCAAGGTTATAGCCTTTGCTTGCAGTGCTATAAAAACAGGTTCTAGACAACCAGGAGCTGCACAGTTGCTATTGTTTTGCAGTGTTTACCAGAGGTGTCAACAAAGATATATGCAGTGTACTACACATTGTGCACACTTTTAAAGCTGTCAACATTGATACTGTAACTAGCAAGAATTCCTTCAGTTGCACGTGCTTGGCATGTGTAACCTTCATAAGTGCATGCATCTTTATGTACACATATTTTCTGTGCTGCCTTTCTTCAAGCTCTATAGATGCACTATACAATTAATATCTTCAGTGTTTCTTTGCCAGGCCAAGAGATGGGCAAAGGATACTGGAGATGAAGGCCACTGTTGCCACCACAGAGAGGAAAAATCGTAGCCACGCCATGAAGCGAGTGTTCACCAGCGGGTGCATATGGAAACTCATAAGCGTGTTGACCCACGTGTATGCCGTGCCACCGCCCACAGCCAGGAAGGCTCCACAGAGGTGAACATAGAGCACTTCAGTCTCCTGCACAGATATGAGTCCCCCGACATTTCCCACACATATTACAAATACAGCAAACATAAAACTCTTCAAACCTTGATGAAAACCGGTAATGGCCGGCAGGCTACCAAGTGACCAGGAAAGGCAATGACAAGAGGTTTATTGCAGAAACTTGAAAAATAAGCAAAATTGGAGTGTAGTCAATGGAAAGAAGTACAATGGCTTTACCATCTTTTCTTTCCCACTTCATTAAATGGTGCAGTTTTTCAAGCCTGAAATGCAATACACGGGACCAATTCAAACACAACAGACACACAGCAGAGTGCCTTCTTTTAATTGACCGTATTTTGCATTTCATGTCAAATTAATTTATCTCATCAGCCAGCTAGGACTGAGACCCTCATTCTGCTTTATATGACCCTTTTGTGAAAAGCATCTATGAACTTGCTCTCAAAAAAATTAAATCAACAAAATCATGCAAAAAATGTTGCATTTGCTTTTGCACGGGTTGGGAAGAACTGAAGCCATCGTATTCACCTGAAAGTTGGCGACGATGGATACACCTAGGGACGAAATCCAGCCCAGCCATAGGCCGCTAATGTTCATCCGAAGAACCCGCGGCGACTCCTGGGACAGATGGTCCCTGTAGTATTGCTCCACTTCTTTGTAACGAACATACACTGTTGCAGCCACTGCAGGCCCAGAAAAAGAATGCCAAATGCACACAAGGCCATTATATGACGGTCTCCGAATGCAAAAAAAAACATCAAAGTAGACCAACAGTCGCACGGTTACGTTTGAAGCAGTCACACAGTTGTACGTGTAACCTTTTTCTGCACGAGTTTGTAACTCCACAGGCCTGGGCTTGACATTATTTTTTGCAATGCCCTCAACAAACACTCACCCAGACGAAATGATGGGCTTACATGCCCAAGCCCCGCATTATGGGCTACGTGAACTGCTGTTGTGCAGAAACCTCCAGAACTTTCAAAGATTTGAGGTTTCTAAACATGAGCATAAGTCTAAGTACACATGCTATGAGGCATATGATGCTAAGAATCAATATTTGCTAACATAATTATCAATATACCACAAAAGGAACCGGCCCTGTAGCCACTTGAATATCCAATATGTAGTGGACAAAAATCAGAAGGAAAAATGAATGTATACACCGAGTTAACTTCACAATTATGAATGAAGGCAGTAAATAATTGATGCAAATGCTTAAAAGTAAAGAAAGCTAATAGGTGCCAATGGGAAAAGGAAGAAGTAATGAGAAATTCACTTCTCTCACAGATACAAGCAATTTTCTGCAGAGTGTACTCGCGATTGCAAAGATGAGTATTACAATTTTACCCACTGCAGCCGTAGCTAAGGAAGTGCTTTCATGCAGTTTAGAGGCTGGACAGTATGCCATTTCACCTCTGTCTACATTATGTGATCACTATCTACACTTTGTGATCTAACATTACAGCAAATGCACAACATCAGAATGCTGATTTAAATAAATTTGAAAAAAGTCTATACCACTGAGTGTGTTCCACATTTCAGTTTAGTGCTACACAGGGACAGATCTAGCCAATCCTTTTAGGGGGGGGGCCCTCGCTTGAAGCAACACTGGAGAAGGGTGCGAGGTCATTGCTATTTTGTGTTTACGTAGCACAAAAATTTGTCATAGCATAAATGCTGTTAATATGTGCTGACTGGGGTCCTCCTCATCGCTCCTAATTGGCGACAGGAAGTGCACGACAAGCACTGAATAGGGGGGGGGGGAGTGGTCCTGACACAGGTGTTGTAGGGGGGTGGGGCAATCGCTTTTATCGCACACTCCTCTGGATCCGCCATGGGTGCTACAGCTCACGTTGTAAAGCTAAAACAGTATGACGGCAACTTTCAGTACACACTGCCTTTTATTAAATGAAACAAGCTTGTGTACCAGAGCTTTTCTATGAGATGTTCATTTAGGTGCATCACGCGATTCATTGCGAAAAATGGTGACATGCTTTCAAGTGCACATAACTGGTGTACTCAATAACTGACTTGAAGAGTACTGAAACTATGTGGGTATATAAAACACATTTATAGAGCTACAGTGTCACATATTCAATGCAAGGAATACATACCACATTTTTCAAACTGCTTATAAAGCTTTCAAAAGAAACCTGTTTTTATGACAAGTATGCAAAATAATCTTCAAGACATTTACACGGCAGAAATGAGCAGCAGCAAATGAATAATTTTTAAGCAGCTTTAATTTTTATGAAGGGCCAAGTCAAAAATAAAAACCATGCCGATGTTATTTTACCTATAGAACAGCCAAAGTGATCAACATGAGCACAATACAGCAACTAAAATGCAGTGAAATAGTAAGCATTCAACAGCAGGTGCAGCTTCTCAGCTTTAATTCATGTCATGTACATTACCCATAGCAACAAAAGGGATGACCAAACAATGAGCTTGACTCACTCAAGAAGGAGCAGATGTTGAGGAGCTGGCTAAATATGCAGCTCTCAGGGGCGTATGTGCCCGTGTCGCTGATGTACGGAAACTCCACTTCCACATGGCCAAGGAGAATTGAGATCAAGTACCTGCAGCATTAGTGTTAACGTCATAAGTCAACATTCTCTGGCAATATGAAAATAGGAAAAACATTTGAGAAGAAAATGTGGCATTTAACATCCCATAAATGGGTTATGTTAGCATGATAGCAGCATATAAAAAAAAAGCGTGAGCACAGTCTTTATATATGTTACATAGCAGCATTGTGTTAGTATGTGCCCATTTCACATGGAAAAGGTGTCTTAAATGTAGTTCCATCTTTTCACACGGAAAGTGGAAATATAATTTTGTGCAGTCTTTTGCCTCTCAGCATCAACAATATCATCCGCTATGTGGGGAGCTATGATGGGGTATTACCATCTGAGAAATTTAATGGTTACACTTGTTACCAATCTCAAGGTTTCCAATTTACAGAAATAATTCATGCTGTGCTACCGTGACAAACATGAATCTACACAGCTTACATGCTGCTGTCTCGTAAATGTGCAATGGTTACAATAACTAGTTCACAACTTGAGTCATTTCATTATGCCGGCGTCTATCCCTATCATAATCAAAAATGAAATTACAATACTGGTCTTGGAAACCCAACAAAGCAATTCATCTTTAATTTACAGCATAATAAAAAAGTTGCCACATTAACCACATAAAACTAGGGCAGCACAGTCAGTCCAAGCACAAGTTCATGGGTGCCACAAAGTATGCATGACACATCCTTAACCGTTATTAGTGATGAGAATTCAGCACTGTGCAACAGTCACGACATTTAACCGTACAACTGATTGATTGGTTTCTGGGAACATACGTTGTAAAGGCAGCACGTGTGTCTGTACACAGGCTTCCACACATGGGTATTAGATCTTGTAATAAACCTACTATCCTTGTAATTAGACCTGCTATCTTTATTGCCGAACGGTGCACGCAAAGGGCACAACGTCCCACGAGGGCACAAAAAGTAGAACCTCAAAGCCGAAACCTTTTCCTGATAGCTACAACACTTTTTACATTAACTTAGCATGAATCATTGTAACAATGTAAAACAAGAAGGAATCGATGATTGTCACTTATGTGAGGATCTTCATTGTTATTCTTATAAACGAAGATAGGAACCAAGCACACTCACGTAACTATGAAGGTGCCAGGCAATAGAACGAAGACGGACAGAGGGAGAAGTTCCACTCTAGTCAGGGGCATTTTAGTGCTGCAAACATAAAGAAATAGTCAGAAAAGTGCAGCTCGTTCTATTTCGCTTAGCAGGCCTCTCCCCCACCCCCACCACCTAGAACCTTCGTGACGAGCGATCACCATCACATTACACTTGAGCTAGCACGTTTCTACGGAAGAAGCAAAAAGCGAGACAAATCATCTCCAGTTTACTGTAGACACTTCGAGTGGCATTTGAGCCGTAGGGGAGGCCCAGCGCGGGGACACAATTGTATCTGACGATTGACGAAAGCAGTGCTGCGTTCGCGATGCAACACAGCGGCGTTTTGTCTCTTGTCGCGTGCCGGATGGGAACCGACAAACGTTACACGGGCGGCTGTAACAATACGGTAGTGCTCAAAGACGCCAAGGAAAGAATGTTGGCTCTGTCACCGACATGACGAGAGAGTCATCTCAAACGTAAGCGGAACCTTGCTCTCGTGTGAGATTCAAATATTTACCGTACAGCAATAAGATTAACGATGCATGCATTTGGGGGAATGGCTCCACGGTTCCAAACACAGCAGTAGAATCCAAGCGTGTCGATAAATTTCCCTTCACATGTCAAACCCATATTTGCACAATTTAAGACGGGCATCTGCAAGGCACTAAAGGGCTACTCTAACACTGCCCAAGTTCGAAGTGACTTTGGAAGGTCAGTGTCCCGTAATTATGCGAAGTAAACAACAGTGACGCCTGTCCATGAGACAACAAAGTTCCTGGTTTCAGCTTGGGTGCAACAAAATTTGCTCTAACTTACCCACGCCGCTGAGGGATGAATTGAGAAGACGAGCATCGATGGCAATGTTGCAAACGTAGTATCTATAGCGCTAAATGCGAGAGTTAGCGACAGTAAACCACTCGCAATCGCAAATCAAAAGTCAAAACTGTGCAAAGAACTGAATCACTGTAGAACGCGGGTATCCATCCACGCTTCGTCGTTGCCAGGCACCGTCCAAAGTAGACGGGAGGAATGATTAACGCACGGCTAGAACAATGCGTCTTCTTATCAGGACACTTGGTGTCAGTTGAGCATTGCGCAAGTGCCTGGGGATATCGCAACTCAAAGCAGAGAAATCGCAATCACAGGATCAGAGAGCGATCGCAGCTTGCGAGGAGGTGGTATCGATCACAGAACATTTAACAGTAGGCTAGGTGAGCAACCGAGAGGGGGCGGCTCTAGTAAGTTAATATTTGTGATAAAAACCATTTCTTAACAAAAAATGTTCATTTGTGCTAACTAATAAAAACAAAAAATGTCAAAATATTTGTATTAGTTAAGTTTTGTGAAGCTAACAACAGTTTGTGTGTAAGCGCTGTTTAATAATACAGTTTTGGTTTCGTTTTCGTCTGAACATTAGCGTAATGTTATTCCATGGTAATTGCACAATGTTCAACATACATCATCAAATAACCACTCATAGCTTTTCATATTAGGAATTTCCAGCATGCGTTCGGTGAATTCAATTTTGCGTCTTGTCTAAGGAGAATGTCAAGGGACACGTTTCGCAAACATCTAACAAAAGTCAATCCTTGGCTGATACCATCCATGTTGACAAAACTCAGCATAATTTATCTGTGGTTTCCCCATAACTTCGTACGTACATTTTTCACCATCAATCAGCCCATATGAAATGATTTGTTTTGCTTTACGCACCAAAAAAAAACAAAAAAAAACGACAGGATCAATGCACGTCGTAGTGGAAGGAGGGAGATGGGTCTCCGTATTGTTTACGAGAGGTACAAGGCACACGGGTGTTCCTTAATAGCATTTCTGGCCTATCGAAATGCCGCCGCCGTTGCCGGTAGTCGAACCCGCGTCCACATGGCTTGGCAGCGCGGTGGTTCCTTTCGTGTATGTGCTGCACACGCGCCAGTACATTTGTTTACAAGAGATCTTTGTTTCGCGTTGTACTTGCACGCATGTGTGTACGAGATTTGCCCGTAGCCAAAGAGGTATACCGTAGCCGCCTCCTCCGCCCCCCTCCCTCCCCTTGAAATTTTCATGGAGAGGGGTGTTTTCTTGAAAATAAATAACGAATATGGTTGAATTTCTCAAAGAGCTCGAATCTTTAGCTACAGTGCCCCCCCCCCCCCCCCATAAAAAAAACCTTTAATCCTGGTTACGGGCTTCGTTGTATTAATAAAGAAAAAGCCAGGCCTGTGCGTAGGGCGCAATACAGTCACAACGAAAGCTCGAAGAGCGGCCTTTCAGAGCTTTTTCGAAACACTCATTGGGTGACTACTGCAACCACACTTGCTTGATACCCACTAGGTCATTATTAGTAAATTTATTTGGGTAGTAGGCCGGCATTCGCTATGCTATTTTTCGTCATTCTTCTGAGAAGCTTGGTATCTGCTAAACACTAGCAAGGAATTTTGTGCCAATTGTTCATGCAGTGGCTGACGACGATGAGTAATTATGGCTGAAGTGGATATGCGCCACAGTTCATAGGAGAACAAGAACAAGCTTTTGTAATGGGTTGGAGCATTGGACGACCCACTCGTTACGCTAATCGCATTATGCGAAGAACGGTTGTTCTTTGGCTGTTTTAAAACGCTTTATAACTCGTATTAATACGATTGCTTGCCCCACATGAAGCCTGCCAGAGGCAATTTTGCTCAGTGGTAGAATACTAGTCTTGCACCCAGCGGACACGAGTTCTAGCCCCACTGTGTAATTGGCACTAAGTATTTTTTTCTAATTTCGCGCGATGTGGTTACGGACACCAGCGGCGGCGGCGGACAACTGCGCATGACCCGAGTTGTGATCTCGTTACAGCTTTTGCTGTTTCGTGACTTTCGGTCATGGATCGAAACTGCGCGACCATAGAGGGTAGGAAAGTCTATCCATGGAGCTGAACCTTAATTGGTTGATCGATATGTGGGTTAGAATTGTGGCAGCTTGGGCTAGTTGATATGGCATGACGATAGTTATAGCGCGAGAACAAAACGACGACACAGAGACAAGAAGGACACTAGTTATAGCGCGAGAACAAAATGACGACACAGAGACAAGAAGGACACGAAGGACACTTCTTGTCTCTGTGTCGTCGTTTTGTTCTCGCGCTATAACTATCGTCATCGATATGTGGGGTTTAACGTCCCAACGTCCCAAAACCACGATATGATTAAGAGAGACGCCGTAGTGGAGCACTTCGGAAATTTAGACCACCCGGGGTTCTTTAACGTGCACCCAAATCTGAGCACACGGGCCTGCAACATTTCCGCCTCCATCGGAAATGCAGCCGCCGCAGCCGGGATTTGATCCTGTGACCTGCGGGTCAGCAGCCGAGTACCTACCGCAACGGGGCATGAAGCAGAACCTTAACTGTATATTTTGTGCTGTCGATTACCACTGATCGGACCCTCTGGACGTGTGTATAGTGTAGGGGCCATTGCTTTGGCAAATAAAACTGCATTAATTTAAATTAACGAAGTTCATTGTATTCAATTAAAAGATATGATCTCGTTAGATATTAACCTGTGAACGTCGTGGGAAATCACGGGAAGTGCACATTTCGTCTGGTATCGGAATAAAATTTACGTGTAGGCTTCCAATGATAAAACACAATGGCTCGCGCAGCTTCCAGGAAGCGACACATTGTTCTTAGATAAGTGCGACCATGCGCTGCTGCTGGTCTCATAGCCGAGAAACATGTCTGCGTGGTATATATTTTGCTCCGTATGCGGTACGCTTATAATCTTTCCGCGCTTTGTTGTACAACAACTAGGGCGGTGTTCCTGCAGTATAGGCAGTTTCGCCTGGAACGCGTCAATTGTGATGAAACCGTACGTGAAACTTTTATTCTTATTCAGTTTAGCCATTACGTAGGTGATATCATTACACCTTGGGTCGAAAGATGTTCGGAGGTAAAGCATGACGAATGTTTTGTGAGGAAGAACTGACTTTCGAAAGGCTTAAAAAAGCTAACATGGTCGATATCTCCCTCACAGCAATTGGTACAACTAGCGTCTCCTCTATCTTTCTGAGGAGGCATTTTGTATAACACGAAAGTAAGAAAAACATTGATTGATTTGTGGGGTTTAACGTCCCAAAACCACCATATGATTATGAGAGACGCCGTAGTGGAGGGCTCCGGAAATTTTGACCACCTGGGGTTCTTTAACGTGCACCCAAATCTGAGTACACGGGCCTACAACATTTCCGCCTCCATCGGAAATGCAGCCGCCGCAGCCGGGAATCGAACCCGCGACCTGCGGGTCAGTAAGAAAAACATATCCAAGGGAGTAGTTTCATGCCTACTTTACTATAATCGACCCAAGAGATATTTCTGGTTTGTTTGTTTGCTGATTTGCTTGTTTGTTTCTTTTTGTTTAGCACCTACAACACTATAGCTGTTTAACGTGAAACCACCCTCGTTGACTCTGGGTGGTAAATGGGATGGCCCTGCGAGGGCTCAGGGTCCGTAAAGGACCCAAACTCTTTCGCCCATTAAAGACTTTCCTTCCATTTCTATGACTGACGCACATGGGTAATGATTAAACAAACATTTGCGGTGATAAGAGAAAGCGATGAGACAGCTAGAAGAACATTGCTGATTAGACGCAGAACTTCAGTGTGCCTCAATGCGTGCAAACCCCCTATGTGCCTCCATGCGTGCGCCGAGAAAACGTGTATCAAGGCACCCTACAGAACTTCGGCTAGAGTGTAGCATGTTAAACGGCCGGACTATATTTTTTATAGAGGGAACCGCAACGCCCGTCATGTCTCCTCCATAGCCCGACCAACGTGAGCGGGGAACGTGGTGTTACGGCAAGGCGAATCAGGCGCGCGTCCCATGTATGAATGAAGGCGCGCGTCCCATACGTATGAATTCTGTCAGTGAGGCCAAGGCTATGGGCGAGGCTTGGGCATAGGTCGCCACCTCGTCTCCCAACTATAGAGCAGCAGAATATGCGTCTTGTCCTTTCTTCAACCTCTTCTCCCCCCACACCTTGTAGTGCGTTAAAACGTTGACGTAATTTCACTTCTATTCGAAACGCGCCGCGTAGCAATGACGCGTTGATGAAGCTAACCGTGGAGGCCACGATCATGATGCGCTTCAATTTGCCGCTCCCAGACGCTGACATAACCCAGCTGATGAAGGACACTGAGAGAGAAAAGTGTGAGATACAAAAGACGCATTTGTAAAGCCTCGCGGAAATGTGGTGACTACAATGCGGTGCATGTGTCTGGGATTTGTTCTCTCGGCCGGAGTGGTCGACTCTCACTGACAAAGCTTCGAGTTTTTCTGTGCCATGTGATCGTGTGCATTCTTTAACGCAATTTCTGTGACGGAAATGCGTCATTTACCTTGGCATTTACCTTTACCTTTACCGTCATTTACCTTTACGACCTTGGCATAAAACATTTTCTACTTTCAAAAAGAAAGTTATGAATAATAGAATTATGGAAGTGAGGAAGAAAAAGAAGCCGAAGTGTGCGAACGTTTCCACTACGGCTCCTGCTTTTTTCAACGTTTTCGCGACGCCACTTTGTGATTTCAACGTCATATTAGTGCAACGACTTCCAGAAGACACAAGGACTCTGCCGACACAATTTGGGCGCAGTGAGTGCTTGCTTCTTGCATTTTATTTCGCCTCCGCCATCGTCGCTCGCCCACCGACAGCTAGCCCTGACGAGTGTCTTCTTTGCTCTAACGTGGCGCGTGCTTGCTCGCGCGCCCCGTAGCCGCACTGTCTCGCTGAGCGATGGAGTACCAAGTGACAGGGGAAGACATTGACCCTGAAGAAATCACGCCAGACCAAGGCTGGCAGACCGCCTCGTGTCGCCGAGCAAAAAATGAAGGCTCCAAACGTGTGCCGTCTTATAGCGCTTTGAAACGCAATGAGCACAAGCCCCACAACAGAGAAAATGTGAAGAACAAGATTATTCGAGCAAGCCGAATGCCTCACCTACCAAAGAACGATCTGCGCATTATCATTAGGCCCAGAGGGGGTCTTAACATCGCTAGGGTTGGCCCAACGACAATCGCTGAAGCCATTTCGGCTTCGGCAGGTATCAGCCCATCGTAACAGCAAGCAGACACGCTCTGCCCCAACATTAAACAGAATATCTTAGTAGCAAGCACGCCGAAGAGAGAAAATGCTAAACACTACGTGCGCGTTAAAGAA